CCTGTTCATTGATTCTCTCAATATTCTGGTTTTCTGACTTGAGGTTTCTACTGTCTTTTACGCCATCTTCTTCATTTTCTCAGTTTTGTTTCTCATAACCCTGAAATCCTTCTATTCTGTCGTTTTCCTTTCACTATGTGCTTTCTTTTTATTGCAGAAACTGACTGATAGGGGGGATGGAAGGGAATGTCTCGTACAACCCATAGTGCAATTGTTTGATTGGTTTTTATTCTGAGTAACTGCTCAATTTGTTTCATTTCTGTTTGTTGGACTACGCTATTTGTTGCAATTGTAATGCATGTCTGCATGTTTCAAAAAATTATCTTGCCGGTCAGTGTCACAAAAGGTTCAGTGGTGTATCACTATCAAAGTGAAGCCATTTTGAGTTGGACTTGATTGGTATAGATATTGTTTCGGGATTTGCAGACTGTATGGCTTTGTTAGAACAATTCAACCTTTACTCTGCTGACTTCCCCCCCATGCTAGGCTGGGGAAGCGGTAGTATAAATTGTGAAATTTCAAAAAATAAAATAAAATCATGTGGAACATATTCACTGATTTGTTTGGTGAATATGTTCCTGTCTTGTTGTGCAAACTACAATTTTTTCCCTTAATATTTCTTCAAAATTCTATGATGTTTACACAAGACAAAATGATTGAATTATCTGTAATCCCATCAATCGTTAGTTCCAAAGAGTAATGTAGCACAGGGTTCTCGCTAGGTTTAGGGCCTGTCTGACAGTACCCTCAAAAACATTTTCCCGGTCTTAGGCTTTGACGACGAAATTTTTGTGGTCTGCAGTATAAGCTGAAATATTTTTCCGAGTCTGATAAACTAGACGAAAAAAAAAACCAAGTCAGCCTACAAGAACACTACCTGCAATTATACTCATTCTATCAAACAACCTAGGCAGTAGCTAAGGACCTAGTCAGAGTCACTAAAGCCGTAGTCCTCATTGCTATCACTACTACCATCCTCACTCCCCACGGGAACTGTGGCCCGTTCTTTCCTGGTAAGCCACGGGTACTCAACATCCATCCTTGCTGCTTCTGCTACCAGGGCCGCTTCTCGAGCAGCTGCTTCTGCTGCTGCCAGTGCATCTGCTGCTGCTGCAGCTGCGGCCGATCTCTTCCTCGCACGCTTGCTCTGTCTCTCCCCGGACGCCATTAGCACATCGTTAGCAGGCCTTCGCTTCTTGGAAGCATTCCACCTCCTCAGCAACTCGGGCCACTCCATGTCATAGTTTAGGAGCGACACAGCCATCAGCTCTCCCAGCTTCGCGTCGCACAGGTTCCCGCGAAGCCAACTCTTGATGATGTTTTGTCGTGAGAAGCCGCGCTCGCACTCGACGGTACTGAGCGGAAGCACGGCGACAGCCATCCACAGGTGGACGAGGTTCGGGTAGCACGTCGCCCAGTCGGGGGAGGACAGCATGAGTTTCAGGCTGTCCGCACACCCGACATCCTCTTGGTGTGTGGCCAGGATGGTAGAGAAGGTGACAAGCTCTCGCTGCGCTCTCGCCCAGTTGATGCCTGCGGTTGGGGTGCACATGGGAACATTGGAATTGGTGATGTAGTGTTTAGACAAGCATGTGGAGACAACGCTAAACATACAGCTCATTCCCGGCATTTAACGCACCTGGTATAGTGTCAGGGTCATCTGGCTTCCGCTTGAACATGTTGCGCAGAGACTGGAGCCATTGGCCTAGCTGTCGCTCACGCTTTGCCTGGTTCTTGGGATAGGATCTCTGCTTGAACAGCTTCGCCCCGTCGAGGTTTGACGGGACCTTGAGGCGGTAGTCGAGCCGGCCGACCAGGGTCGTGATGAACTCGCGCTCCAGCACCAAACACGCTTGGTGGTCCACACCGCTCGTCTGCCCCTTGATTTTCTCCTCGTGCAGTCGGTATCGATGGCTGACCGATGTGCCGTCGGAAGCAGTGCCAGCAACGAGGACCTCGCGGAACTCCCCAGATGCGTGCTTGTCGAGGAACGGGCCCAACGCGTCTCCCCCCTGGCCAAACATCGCGTCGTCGCAGTCGAGGTAGCGTGTGCGCAGCAGTAAGGTCGTGTTGTGCACCATCGGCAGCACATGGGTTGCCTCAACCTGTAAACGGGGGTGCACAAGCAGGATGGTTAGTAAGAGATTGTAAATGAAAAAACCGGCCACGTGTAACTCGGGAAACTGCTTACCTGACGCCGCTGAAACTTCAAGCTTAGCAGGTTGAGCTCCTTCAAGACGTCAGAAAGGAAGAACAACAGGAAATGGAGCTTATAGCTCGTTACGACTTGATACATCTTCTTGTTTGTTTCGTGCAACACCATGACTGCAGCAGGAAAAACCTTCACCAGGCGCTGGATGGCGTCACCACGCGACAACCATCTGACGTCCTTGATGCCTTGAACTTCAAGATGGGTCTCGCAAATGACCTCCTGAAGCTCTTGAAACCGGGCGTGGTTAACACAGGAACGACCGAGGTTCTCAGCCACGGCGCGGACCACCTTGTCCACGACGTTGAAGTCAGGATGCTTGGCGGCAGCATCCTTGGCCGCCAAGGCCTCCCTGCAAGACAGCAGATGGTAACATTAGCACGGGTGTTTTTTAAAAAAGTAGGCAGGAAACGCGCAGTAACAACGCTTACCTGTGCGCGATGCAGTGAGACGACACAAGGTGAGGAACCTTGACTTTCAGGCGCGCGGTGACTCCGTTGTGCTGTCCAAGCATGACGGAAGCACCATCAGTGCTCATACCGGTGAGGCGCTGTAGGTCGATGCCGGTACTCTCCAGATGCGTCAGGAGCACTGTGGTGAGTGACGCGGCGTCACACTGCTCCACACTGAGCAAGGCGAAGAACTCCGTGACGGGTGCGTTGTCACGCATGAACGTCAAATAGACGATCATGTGCTTCCCCCGCCGTCGGTCGGTGCTCTCGTCTAGCTGGATGCCAAGGTACGGACTGTCGCGGATGTGCTTTAGCTGGCGGGACTTGAGGTAGCACACCATGGTCTCGACCAGTTGTGCGAAGCCGTACCTGAGACACCACGGGTTGATACTCGTTAGACTCCTAAACAAATAACAAAAAAAAGATGAGTAAAACGGGACACTTACTCGGTGTAGTACGTCCCGTTCTCCTTCAGGGGCAAATCCGGTGTCCCCTGCTCTGCCATGAATTGAACCAAAGCCACGAAAAGAACAATGGGAGCATCAGACTTGCAAATGAATAGCACGATAGCCATCAACCGAGCAATACGCTTGACATCAGCGTCCCCACGGTGGAAGTCAGCAATTGACTTCTGCACTTTCTTGACGCCGTCGCGCTCCTCCTTCCTCAAGACCGCGACCTCGTGTTTCAGACTGTGGTGATGCTTGCGCATCGTCTGCTTCTGGATGTCGATGCCGCCATCGCCGTTACGCCCGTATTTGTAGTTCGGGTCACCGAAGACCATGCAGACGCTGCAGCGCATGCACGGGCGGCCTGCCTTGTTTTCGGAGATGAGGAGCCAAGGAAAATACCGCTGCCACTGCTGCTTGCACTTCAACTGAAGCTCCTCAACCGACAGTTGCTTGCCCTTCGGGTCTTCGAAGTCTTCACTCGCGGGTTCAGGTTCTGGTTCCGCGGGGCGCGGAAGAACTGACGGTGCTGGCTGAGTCGGACCGCCCGGACGGCAGACGGTGAGAACACGCTGTTTATACCGCTTCTTCATAGATCTGTCAGGCAAGACGGGGTTAGCACTGCGAGAGGTTGTAGCGACCGACACTGGAGGGATGCTCTTATTTCCACATTCGTCAGGGAGCGGGGGGGATAACAGCGTTGTTGGGGTAGTCGTTGCTGGCACGTGTTGATCGCCATTTTCCGAGTTGGGCAAAGGTATCGCAGCAGAGGTCGACGCAATCGGAGGGGCAGCAGAAGCGATCTGCTTGCCCCGCGTTAGGAAGTCTAGGGCGGAAAGCACGGGCTCCCCATCGCACGGTCCGCCGGCGGGGACGGCCATAGCCTAGACGCTGGGAAGCGTCACGCTAGGAAATCAGACGCTGGGAGGGAAACGATCCATGCTCGGCTGGGAGAGAGCTGAGGACGAGCAGGAGAAACAGGCTTGTTTTCAAGCCAGACCCAGCTGCATGAAACCCCATCACCGTGCACTGCACTAAGAACCGAAAGGCGGTGCGTGTTGGGAGCGGGGGGCACTACGACCACAGTGATGTGTTGCGCGCCCTCTACGAAAAGCAAATGCGCTGGCACAACGGGACAGCGCATTGTCGTGGCTGTGGCTGGCGTCGCCGCCGACAGCCACCCAAACGACAAACGCCTGGCAGCATATGCCGCAGATACATGCCAGCGAGGCTGCACAAGGCAGTTACAGAGCTGTATAAGACACGCGTAATGAATGCGCGTGCAGTTACAAGGCAGCAATCGGGTGTACCTGTGGTGGTCCTGTCCTCTGGTCAACTGGGCCTATGGCCTAGTGGGTCAAGTTGTCGGTTTCAGACGAAACCGAACTCGCTATCTGTATCCTCAGATAAAAAATTCTACACGTCTGAAAAAATCATACGAACTTAAAAGTCAAATCTTCTTGATCAGATGAGAACAAACACAAAATCTTAGGATTAAGATGAATACAAAAAAACCAGTCTTAAACGCAGACCATCAGACCAAATTGGTCTGATAACGAGAACCCTGATGTAGCACAAATAACATCAAATGGCGAAAATATAATATAGCTGATTTATTACCATAATCCAGCACAATTCGAGAGGATGCTTATACCGAGTTTGTTTGTCTTTTTCGGTTTTTTTTTAATCGAAATAAAAAATAATTCATCGAAAAAAAAATCAATTCAGATCGATCGCAATAGGTTGCTCCGCAACCCAAAAAAAAACGTTATAGTATCTACCATGCACTATGACACGGTCTTCCCGTATCCTGCCTAAACATATGCCGGATTATCACAACACGGTTTATAACGATATTATCTACAATAACGGCACTCGCAGCTACCGTACTTACCCATGTTCTGTAGCTGACTCGCAGGTGCTGTTTTTCAAGAACGGACTTTCTTTCAGCTTCTCTCCTAATCTCCCCCTCCCCCTCCCTCTCCCTCTACCATGCCCCGTCTCTCCCTCCTCTCTCCCCACAGCAGTCACCATCCGCGCCCGTCCCCCCCACACCGGCAGCCCACCTCCCCCACTTGCACCCCCAACGGTGCCGCCTTGGCTGTCCGACTCAGCTGCTCGCCCGGCAGTGGACACGGAAGCACCAGGATCCGCTCCCACCCCTCTGTACACGTTATACACTGATGCGTTGCTGGCAGTGGACTCGCGCAGACTAGTCTGCACCCCCTCCCGAGTGCTGTCTCCATTTGTAAGCCTGTCTCCCCCATGCCACCTGTCACCTTCTTGCTTGACCCGGCTTAAATGCTCTGTCTTCCTCTCCTCCTCCCTCCTCTCCTCCTCCCTCCTCTCCTCCCTCCTCTCCTCCTCCCTCTCCTCCTCCCTCCTCCCCCCTTCCCACCTCACACCCCCCTCCTCCCCATCGCGCACGCGCCGCAGCTTCACCGTGCGCAGTGCCTCGGGGCTCACGCCATAGCTCAGCCGCAGGGGCGCTTGAGGCCGGATCATCCTCGCCACCTCCGGAACCACCTCCTGCTGCCCCCGCCCGCCCCTCCGCACTCCCCTCCCCCTTCCGCGTGCCATCATGATTATCCTACCCCTCCCCTCCGCCCTGCGTGCTGCTGACAGCACTCTCCCCACACCCCCTGTTCCCACCTCCTGTGACTCATCATCTTGATATTCATCCCCGTCATCATCCATACCCACGTCCCCATACCCACCCGCATCCCCATTCCAATCTCCATCCCAATCCTCATCTCCATCATCCTCCTCCTGCTCCTCCTCTTCCCTCTCATCCTCCTCTTCCTCCTCCTCTTCCTTCTCATCCTCCTCCTCCTCCTCCTCAACCTCCTGGCTGCTGCCACTAGGAGCTCGCCTGCTTAAGAACCCCCTCTCCTCGTTCCACCTCCCCACTCCGCTGCTCTCCCTCCCTCCGCCACTCTTTCCCTTCTCATCACCTCGCTCCCCCTCACCCCTCTCCGTCTCATCAATGCCCCACCCCTGCATGCCTCCCTTGCCCCACACGCCTGCTGTGCTCACAGAGGGTGACTGTAACGAGGGTGATGGCTGCCCAGGCCTGCTGATCGACGGTGACAGTGACACTAACGGGGAGTTGGTGACTTCAATGGAGGGCAGCGAACTACCAGAGGGAAGGAACGGCGAGCGGGAGGGGGAGGCGGAAAGGGAGGGCGAGGAAGGGGAGGAGGGGGAGGAGGGGTCGGAGGGAGGAGGGATGGATGTCTGTTCCTTCGATCCAGAGAGTGACAGAAACGGGGAGTTGGAGATTTCAATGGAAGGCAGCGAACTACCAGAGGGGAGGAACGGAGAGGCGGAGGGAGAGGGTGAAGGGAGGCGGGAAGAGGGGGAAGAGGGGGAAGAGGGGGAAGAGGGGGAGGAGGGGGAGGGCGAGGAAGGGTGGGAGGGAGAAGGGATGGATGTCTGTCCCTTAGAGTCAGAAACAGAGGCAGACACCTGGATGTCATAGCTTGGCCACGAGCCACTAGGATTCTGACATGTGGCACTAAATGCTGCTCCTGACGCCACCCCACCCAGGCCATCCCCCTTCTGCCACGTTCCCTCCTTCCTGGCTTCACCAGACCAAGAGCTCGCCGAACCACGGCTTCCCGAACTAGAGTCACCAGAGCTCCGTCGTGCCGAGCCTCCGTTGAGATGCTCCCTGCGTGGGCGGATCGCTTCTTGTATGTTGGCGCACTGCAGAGCAGTCTGATGTTCGCCCCCTGCTGCCTCCTCATCTGCCTCCTTCTCCTCCGCTACTTTAGGCACTGCTGCAACGGTCCATGCAACAGGTGGTGTGTCCGCTTCACCATGCCTTGCTCCTGCCCTGCCATGCGTCTCACCTAGCTTTTTCCCTAGCACATCAGAAGCAGCTGATCGCCCAACCAAGGCAGACACTCTCGCTGCTGCTGCCATGTCCCCTCCAACCGCAGCAGCAGACCCAGCAGCGACAGCAGCAGCAGCACTTGCGGCATGCCCAGTCTCTCTCACTGCCCCATACCTGTCAAACAGACGCCTGCCCGTCTTACCCATCATCCCACCCCCAATGGGCGAGGGCGAGGTGGCACTGTTGTCGTCTGCCTCATCGCCCCACACGGGCATTCTCCTCAGCGGACTCTCATCCCTCTCCTCCTCACCTCTCCTCTCCTCCTCGCCTCTCCTCTCCTCCTCCCCCTCCTCGCCACCCTCCATTCTCTTCTCCTCTTCCTCCACCTTTTTTCCCTCTCTCCCCCAATGCCTCACTCCCCCACCTCCTCCCCCACTCCGCTCGCCCTCCCCTTTCTTCCCCTCCACCCTCCCCTCAGTCTCCAGTGCCCGGCTGGTCTCCCTTATCCTCCTTTCAATCTCCTCCCTGACAGCGCTCAAGCCCCCTCCCTCTGATGCAGACAGCGAGCCAGAGAGGGCGGACGGGGAGAGCAGCGAGGTGGAGAGAGGGGAGAGTGACTGTATGGGGGTGGGCTCTATTGAAGAGGTGAATGAAGATGTGAACGAGTCTGAGAGCGAGTCTGCCAAGCTGTACCGATGGGGTGGGTGTGAAGGAGCAGCAGCATTCGAGTTAGCAGCAGCATTTGAGTTTGCAGCAGCATTTGAGTTTGCAGCAGCATTTGAGTTCGCAGCAGCAGATGACTCTTTATCACTAGAAACACCAGCCGCAGCAGCAGCAGCAGAAGCAGCAGCAGACGAACGCCCTCTGTGTGACCCCCTACCATGCGACAACCCCTTGCCGATTGAATATGCCCTTGCACCCACCACATCATCGCCACAAGAACCACCCTGCGACCCTGAAAAGGAACCTGTCTGCCCGTTAACCTGCCCGTTCAGCTGCCCGCTCGAGCCCGATGCAGCGCGAGCATCTGACTGGGCACCTGAGAAAGCACCTGAGTGCGCCTGGGAGCGTGACCTGGACTTGGACCACGATCGCAGGCGCAGGCCTGACCTGGACGGGCCTTGAGAGTAGGAGTTGGACTGAGAGGGGGACGGGGTAACTGACAGTGTGGACTCAGAAATTGGGGTTGTTTCTGATATTGTCTCAATGTCCATGCGGTCTTCATCTGCTACAGCCTGCATAGCCTGACTTGGACGGTTTGACTCCTGATTGAAGAGGTTTGATTCCTGATTTGGGCGGCTTGATTTCGGATTTGGGCGGCTTGAGTTCTGATTTGGGTGGCTTGAGTAGGGTGCTCCCTTTCCTGCCTCCAACCCGCTTCTCTCCTCCCCTCCTGCTGCTGCTCGTCCCCTCTCCACCCCCTTCTCTCTTCCCCTCTCCATCCCCCACTCTCCTCCCTTCTCCATCCCCTTCTCTCCTCCCCTCTCCATCCGCCTCCCTGCTTCCCATTCTCCTCCTCTAGTGCCTCCCTCACCCACTCCCAGCCCAACGAACGTCCCCCCAGCATGCATCACTGCATGCCGCACCACCACTGGCACTCTGGCCTGCGCTGCTGCTTCCATCCCATATCCACCTGCCATTTCTCCTGCTGCCATGCCCCCTCGCCCTGCTGCCTCCCTCCCATATCGATCTGCCATGTCTGCTGCCACGCCAGCCCTACCTGCCGCTGCTGCACCAACTGGCATGGCTCTTTCGGCTGCCGCTGCTGCTTTTGCTGTTGCAGGTACCTTCACTGCTGCAACTGCCACATTTGCTGGAGCTGCTGCTACAGCCGGAGGGGCCTGCTTTGCTGCTGCTACAGCAGGTGGTGCTGGCTTCGCTGCTGCAACAACTGCTGCCTTCTGCCGCCCTGCACTCATCTCTCTCTTCGCCTGCAGCCAGTTCCTCATATACCCTCCCCTCCCCCGTCCCACTTCCCCTCCTGTCCCTCCTCTCGTACCCACAGCCCCACCCTTCCCTGCGACCTCAACCACCTTCCCCACTTCCCCATCTCCTCCCTGCCCTCCCTTTCCTCCCCCTCTCCCGAACGAGCCACCTCGGTTTGGCGGCAGCGCCAGTGCTGCTGCCTCTCGCCCCTCCTTGCGCCCTGCTGCCTCCGCCAGTGCCCCGTGCTCATGGCCCTTATTTCTCTGAGGCGCCTCAAAGACAGCCGCTCCCTGCTCATACCCCTTCCCTGCAGCCTGCGAGCCGGATGCTGAGGTGTCGCAGCTTGATTGGGGCGAGGAGAGGGAGGAGAGGGGGGCGGCGGAGGAGAGAGGGGAGAGCGAGGAGGCGGGAGTGAGGGAGGCGAGAGGGGTGATGCTGCGAGAGAGAGAGTGAGGTTCTTTGTCGTTGGATAGGGTGTTAGAGAGAGCGGATGGAGAGGTGGAGGGCGAGGAGAGGGAAGGTGGGGTAGAGACGGAGGAGAGGGGTGTGAGGGTCTGAGACATGGAGCCATTGAGTTGCGAAAGAGACCCTTCCATTTGAGAGAGGGAGCCTTCCATTTGAGAGAGGGAGCCTTCCATTTGCGAAAGAGATCCGTCAAGTTGTGATAGAGAACCCTCCATATCCGCTCCACTCCCTCCTCTCTTCCCACTCCCCTCCATCCCTCTCCCATCCTCGGGAGAAGCACCCCAGAAGCTTCCCATGATGGACCCAGCAGCACCAGCCACCATGCCCCAGATCCCTGGCTGTAGGGCGGGATCGCCCCCTGCTGCAGCAGCCATGGCTTCCACAGCCGCATCTACCGTGAGGGCCGAGGGGGAGGACGGCACGGCAGCTGTAGCACTGGACGCCTGAGAAGAAGCAGAGAGGGAGCGAGAGGAGGAGGCGGAGGGTCGAACACGGTTGGGTCTACGTTGAGGGTTCAGCTGTGGGGTGACCGCAAAAGCAGCCTTGGGCATACCAACGGCCTGAACCACCGCACCTGCCCCAGATACACCTGCTCCAGATGCACCTGCCCCATCCGCAACAGCAACACCGGCAGCAGCATCAGAAGCAGGGGGGAACGCCCCTGGAGTCACCTCAGAAGCTTCCCTAGAAGCTTCAGTGTCTGTGCCATACGCAGCGTGCCTGCTGGACCATGCATAACCGTTCTTCACCGCTCTGGGCTGTGGGGTGTAGGGCCGGCGGGGGTCGGGAGAGGTGCTCTGAGGCGCTTCAGGGAGGGACGGCAGGCGGTGCGGCCTTCTAGGGGTAGGCGCGTGCGAAGGGGAAGGGGAGAGGGAGGGGGACGGATATTCATCGGGACCGGAATCGGCATCAAGAGATTTGTTGCGAGAGAGGGTGTGATGGTGGTCGTGTGGAGTGATGGGGGTGTGCGAGGTGGGGGTGAGGATGGTGGGGCTGCAATCAGGGCCCACGCTGCAGCTGGCCACAACAGACCGCCCTAGATCGCCCTCTCCTCCTGCTCCCGCTCTTGCTGCTGCTGCTGCTGCTGCTGCAACACCAACTTGAGCACCAGCTGCAGCCGCCTTGGCATGTGGAGCAGCGCCATGAGTTTGGTCGCCCTGAGGCTTCTGAACGGACTTGACACTGTCAACACGGAACCCCATACTGTCCACCCGCACCCCGCCTATCCCCGACCATGCCGCTGACCCCATCGTCCCCTCCTCGCCCTCCCCCCCTCCTCCTCTGCTTCCGTTCACCCCCCTCCCTTTCCTCCACTTCCCCCCTCCGCGCCCCTTCATTTCTTTGATCCACTCCGGCCCACCCCCAGAGCCCACACTAGAAGCCCAGCTCATGTTCGTTTCCGTGTCTACAACCACTTCTACCCCTCTCTCCTGCCCCTCCTCCCGCTCCTCTCCCTCCCTCACTCCACCAAGCTCCCCTTCCCCTGCTCCCGTTTTTCCCCTCTCTCTACCCTTCCTCCTCTCCTCCCTCCCACTTCTGCTCCTGTTGCCTTCTCGCCTCCCTTCTCTCACACCTCCTCCCCCCAACCCCTCTCTCCTCTCCCCTCTCGCACCCCTCTCTTCTCTCCCAGCCCCCCCACCCACCTGCTGCATCCGCCTGCTTCTCAAATACTCCACCCTCGCCCGCAGCCCCCCAAACGGATCCTCCCCGCGCCCTCCCCGATCCCCTCGCCCTCCCCCGCCTCTCCTTCCCCCCACTCCCTCCATCAGTGCAGCAGCAGCAGCAGCAGCAGCGCCAGCAGAGCGCTCACTGGAGGAGAGGGAGGAGAGGGAGGACCAGGAATCAGAGTGCAGAGAGGTTGACGGCCCAGCAGACGCGGAGGGACCGCCCACGCTCGCCCCTGCTGCTGCTGCCAGGGCGCCGCTGTGGTTGCCACACAGCACAGGCAGCGGGGAGAGGCGCCGCGGAGAGAGCGGGCTTGGAGAACCATTGCCAGGAACAGCAGCAGTGGGAGAGGCAGGAACTGCAGGAGCATTACCAACAGCAGCAGTGGGAGAGGCAGGAACTGCAGGAGCATTACCAAGAGCAGCCACTGCCATATGTGCACTTCCATCCCTTCCCTGCTTCTCCCTCTCCTGCCGGCCCTTTTTCCCCCACCTGCTGGGGCTGAGCAGGTGCATACCCCCCCCTCGCCTCTCATGCTTGTGAGCGCCAGTGCCAGTGACAGCAGCAGCAGCTGCAGTCACAACGCCAACACCCAGCGCAGCTGCTGCAGCACCTGCTCCCAGCACCGCACCCAACACCCCGGCACCGCCCCCACCTGCCGTGCCAGCACCAGCAGGAACAGCAGCGGCAGCAGCAGCACTAGCACCTTCCCTTGATGCCCCATCCCCTCCTCCTCGTCCCCCCTTTCCCCCGTTCCCTCCCCCTCCCCCTCTTCCTTCCCCCCCCGCCCCTTCTGTAGCCCACGAGGGCGCCAGCATAGGCAGCAGCTGCATGAGCGCTCGGGGGGAGTTCCGCCACTCCTCCCCCTCGTCCGTTCCATATCCCCCCGCCTCCCCACCTTCCCCCCTTCCCCCGGACTCTCCTCTCTCCCTCCCCCTAGAGGTTCTATCCCCCATACCTGCTTGCCCTGCTGAATCCAAACGAGAGGCCCCAGACTGGTTCGGTCTAGGCTCGGACCCCGTCACCTGGCTCGGAGAACCATACTCGTTATAAGCAGGGCCGTTAGAAGCTTTCCTGCCACCACTGCCACCACCGCCACCGCCACTACTGCCGCCACCACCGCTACTGTTGTCACCACTGGAGCTCTGGCTGCCCGACCTGCCTCTGCTGCTCCCCCTGGAGCTGCCCTTCACAGGAAAAGCCGCCTCTGGCGACCCTCCCAGCTCACCCCGCCTCTCCATGTGAAACCTCGCCCCTATCCCCCCTCCCCATCCGCCCCTGTCCCCCTCTCCTCCTCCCCCACTCCTCCCCACGCCCCACCCTCTCCTCCACCCCGATTGGCTCGCAGAATCGCCGCCCGAATCAGATCTGGAAGAGCCGAAGCCAAAGGGGCCGAGGAAGAGGAGCACGAGGCCGTATGCAAGTAGTGACAGGCCGCCTAGAAAGCCTCCAGTCAGAGTCACCGATCGGTCCGTGCCAGCCGCCTCACTGACGGACCCCGCACACCCCTGCTCTTCCCCCTCCGCTCCTCCCCTAACATTCCCCCCCCTCCCTCCACCTCCCAGCCCCTTGCTCCTCCCAAACGCACCCTCATAATACTTCACCCCCACCCCTGCAGTGTCTTTCGCTAAGGCACGCAGGAAGCAGAGCAAGTGACCCAGGAACGACACCAGCAGCAGCGCTTGTAGCCCTGCCCCTGCCGCTGCAGCAGCAGAGGGGGGAATGGCGCCCGTGGCAATGGCAAGAGCGACGGAGAAGAGAGAAACGTGTGAGGCGGAGGCAAGGAGGGCAGAGAGGAGGAGAGTCGTGCTGATGAAGGGACGGGCGAGGGCGAGGTAGAGCAGGTGGCAGCACGCCAGCACCAGCAGCACCGTGCTCTGCGCACACGCATCTCTTGCTGAGCTGGCAGGATCTGCTGAGCTGGCAGGATGGGCCATCCAGCTGTAGCTGGCAACAACAACGGCGAGGGAGCAGCGCAGGCAGAGGTCGAGAGGCATGTGCGCTATGCCTGCCCACCCAGACGCCCATTGCAGCCCACGCCATGCCTTATCCATGGCCGAGTGGCTGTCTGCTGTGCCGTGGCCGTATGCACTGGCTGCATGCGCACGAGCATACCCGCGCCCATGCGTGAACGAATTATCCACTTCCCACCAGCCCCCCCCTCCTCCATACCCATCGTGCTTCACAATTCTCCATTGCCCCGCATCCCCACTTCCTCCTCCTCTTCCTCCCTCCCCAAACCCAACTGGATGGACAGCTGCTGCCCGGCCAGAAAAGCCGCTTCGGCCAAAAGCTGAGCCTAAAGGCGAGCCGCTGGCTCGGCCTGAACCTGAACCACTTCCTCGGCCCGAACCTGCACCGGTAGTTCGGACCACGGATGCTCCTCCGGTCTGGTTGCCGCCCCACTGAGCCTCGAATAGCAGCCCCCAACTGCCAATGAAAGCTGGACACGTGGCAGGGTCTGTGATGTGCCACGTACCATGGGCTGAGCTGGACGAAGGGAGCTGGAGGTCAGAAAAAACAAGTAAAGGCGGTGGAGGGAGGGAGAACTGAAGGTTGGCAAGCATTGACATGAGAGAAATTAGGGTCTTGACAGACGACGAAATCAGCAAAAAGAAAGGAAAAACACCACTAGAGAGCACTCTCCCGTTCTACAGTGCACACCGGCCATAGAATACCCGCTAGACAATCGTCTTGTTCTCGAGACGTCTCCAAAAGTGGCCATACCTGGTAGACCACGGTTTTGTTCTTGCAGGCGATGTTGCGGAGGAAAAAGGCAAGGAGGAAAGGGAGATTCACCACCACCACCACCACCGCCACGAAGGGCAGGCCCGCCCAGCCTGGAGGATGGTAGCAAGCAACACAAGTTGGAAGGATTTGGAGAGACTGGGGTTTATTTACATAGTCAGACTTTCTATGTACAAAAAAAAAAAAATATTGGTTCAAGCTGGAATGACTTGATATGATGGATTTGGCTGCTCTCAGACAATTGCCCAAGTAGGAGACTGCCTTGTGTGCTCGTCTGCACCCACGTGCACTTCTCTGGGTCGTTCTCGGGGCACTTCTTCTTTCCTTCCATTTTCTTCAGGCTTCAGCAGGTCATAATGGTCGAAGCCATTCTTTATTTTGAAGGACCACTCAGCAAAGCTGTCGCCATTGAACTCGTCTAGGCCAAACAGTTCATCCATAGAAAGTGCAAGAATTGGTTGCATAGGAGTCATTGGGGGATCATAGGGTTGAGCTTGAGCTTGGGCTTCTCCACTGCCTCGAGCACCTCTACCACCTCTTTCCTCAGGTCCAGCCATCAGATTAGTTTTGATAATGAGGTTGCCTTGTGCTGATTTATCCAGCAGATCCACGGTTCAGAGGGTTTATTGTAAGGATAGATGTAAGTGAGAAATAACAGCGGTTGTTCAGCTTGCACATGATCAACAGGCGCATTAATAATACATCCTGCAGCAGAACGGCCTGAGCAATGGGGTTGTGGGAAAAAAACATGTGGCAGGCAGGCAGTGCAGCAGCAGGAAGTGAGAGGCAAGCAGGATAACAGAGCAGGTGAGGCAAGGTGGAAGCGGACTGACCAGCGGTGAGGAGAGTGAATGCGTGGCAGAGGGCGGGCAGGCAGAGCAGCAGCATGAAGAGCAGCGGGCGAGGCCAGCTGAGCAGATGACCAACCTCCCACGGCATGTGCACCCCCGCCTCCCCGCCTGCTGCTCCCCACCCCCACCCCACTCCTCCCGGTGACTCCCTTCCCCTTCCCCCTCCTCCTCCTCCCGCTGCTGCTGCCTCCCATCCTGCTGGGAGCTTTCGACTTCCTAATGCTGCTGCTGCTGCTGCTGATGACGTGAAGGCTTTGGCAGCGCGGGAGGAGAGGAAGAGGAGGAGGTAGAGCAGGGCGTGGAGGAGGAGGGTGCAGGCGAGGAGGAGGGCGGACCAGAAGAGCGTTCCACATGCTATGTTGATGCTGCAGGGGAGGAGGGAGGTGGGATGGAGGGGAACGGGCAGTGTGGAGGAGTGCGACATTAAGGGGTTTGTATGCGTGTTTTACAAATAAGGGTGTGATGTGTCTTCTGTGCGTGCTTTAGAAACAATTGTATGTCACATGGGCAGCATGGCAGCTTAATTCTTGCACGAAAGCACACATATGTGCGCATATGTGCGTGTGGGGGACTGGATATGTGTGCGTGTGTGCACATATGTCTCATAACTTAGGCTTAGAAGCGATGCATTAGTAATGAGCTTGAAGCTCTTTAAGTACATCCAAGAAGGGGAGGGAATGGATGGGGAAGGAAATCGGGGGCAATCCATAGGGATTGGGGGTAATCCCAAGGCAATCTCCAATTGGTGGGTTGGAGATTGCTTGGAGATTACATTTGGGTTTGGTTGGGATGTAGGTGTACACCCAACCAAACACAATGTGCAAACTACACTACTCTAGGATATAGAAAATACTAAGTACAAAGTGTGAGATTGAAGGCTAACACTAACAATATGTGCGTGCGAGTGTGTATCCGTGTGTCTATACCTCCACATGTATGCATGCATGCATGTGTGTGCATGTGCATGTGCTGGAGAACAGGCAGGGAGCCACTCACGCGACCTGAGAGGCGGAGGGGTACTGCATGCGCGCCAGTGCCTCCTGTTGTAGCTGCATGTCGGACTGGCGAGCCAGTGAATGGTGGAGACAGGGCAGGGGAGACGGGGTAGGGGAGACGGGGCAGGGGAGACGGGGCAGCGGAGACGGGGCAGCGGAGACGGGGCAGCGGAGACGGGGCAGCGGAGACGGGGCAGCGGAGAGAGGGGGAGACGGGGCAGCGGAGAGAGGGGGAGACGGGGCAGCGGAGAGAGGGGGAGACGGGGCAGCGGAGAGAGGGGGAGACGGGGCAGCGGAGAGAGGGGGAGACGGGGCAGCGGAGAGAGGGGGAGACGGGGCAGCGGAGAGAGGGGGAGACGGGGCAGCGGAGAGAGGGGGAGACGGGGCAGCGGAGAGAGGGGGAGACGGGGCAGCGGAGAGAGGGGGAGACGGGGCAGCGGAGAGAGGGGGAGACGGGGCAGCGGAGAGAGGGGGAGACGGGGCAGCGGAGAGAGGGGGAGACGGGGCAGCGGAGAGAGGGGGAGACGGGGCAGCGGAGGGAGGGGGAGACGGGGCAGGGCAGGACAGGGTAAGGCAGGAGAGGGCAGAGCAGAGCGGAGCAGGGAAGGGCAGGAGAATGGACAGCTGAGTATGACTGAACAGAAGCTGTTGAATGGGGACGTTGAGGAAGGGAAGAATGACCGACGACTGTGAACCGAGACATACAGATGGGAACATTCGCGCACCTCGAACACCACCACGCACGCACCTGTGAGCGCCAGGTGGTTCCTGCGGATTCGTCATTTCCCGTCACTGCGGGTGCCTCTGTGTCAGCCGCCTCGGCTGTAGTGGCAGCGGCTGCAGCAGAGGGAGCAGCAGCAGCTGTAGCAGTGGTAGTAGCTGTAGCAGTGGTAGCAGCAATAGGAGCAGCTGCAGCGGCGACTGAAGCAGCAGTAGCAGCAGTGCCAACAGCAGGGCTGTAGCTGCTGCTGGCAGCATTCAAGCTAGCACTGGGGTTAGGGTTAGCACTAGGGTCTACGTAAGGGCTGTTTGGGCTCGACGTTTTCAAGGGGTCAGATGGGGTAGATGGAACAGATGGGTTAGAGGGAATAGGAAGGATAGTAGGGTTAGAGGGGTTAGATGGGTTAGTGGGGTTAGAGGGGTTAGAGGGGTTAGAGGGGTGAGGGGGTTGAGCAGAGAAGACAAGGAGGCGGCGCATGGGCCAGGGCAGCTTCTCCTGCTTCATGGCCCTCGACAGGTCATCCCTGGCGTTGTCTGTGTGGCTGGGAGGGGCCGCTGTGCTGCTGGCGCCAGCTGCGCTTGTGCCCCCTTGGCTAGCCTCCTGACTCCCCATGCGGCTCAGGATGGTCTGCCCTTGGAATGTTTGCATGGCAGCGTCGCCATCACTCTCACCACCATCATCACCACCATAGTTGCTGTGCTGCACCCCACCTGCCCTGCTATCCTCCACCTCCGCCCCTCGACTCCCCGTAGTCCCTGCCTTCCCAACACCCCTTCTTATCCCTCCCCACACCCATCTCTGCACGACCTTCCACAGTGCTGCTTTCTCTCCTCCCCCACCAAGCAACACTCCCCCCATCCTCTTCCCCCATGCGCCCACCCTCTCTCGCAACCTCCATTGCACGCTGGCCAGACCCTGCACTCTCCTCTCGCCCTTCCCCACTCCCCTCTCGCCTCTCCCCACTCCCCTCTTCCGGCTACCCCACCCTCTCTCTTCCTTCCATTCACTGTCCTTACGTCCGCCCTCTTCACTCTCCACACTCTCCTCATCACTCGACTCACTCCCCCCTTCGCTCTCATCCTCTTTCTCCTCCTCACTCCCCACGACAAACTCCTCTCCTCTCTCCCTTCCCTCCTCCTCACTCTTCTTCTCACTCCTCTCTACACTATCCTCAATCCCGCCGTCCTCACTCACCTCCTCACTCTCCTCCTCATTCCTTTCCTCACTCTCTTCAAGCATCACACTCCCACCTCTTCCTCTTGTCACCCCGCCTCTCCTCTCTCTCAGGTGCCTCTCCACAGCAGAAGCCCCACTATCCTCCACACCACCCTCTGCATCCCCCATCACCGCATCTGCTGCAGCAGCAACCGGACCAAACTCCTTTGGCCCTGTCAAACGCCCTGCTGCCACTGTAGTATCTGTTGGTGCTGCAGCTCCTGCGGCTGTAGCCTTGGCGGCTGCTCCAGTGATTTCTCCTGCTGCTGTCGCTGCTGCTGTTGCTCTGGTCGTCGCAGCTGCCCTTGCTGCAGCAGCAGCAGTGGCTGTAGCAGCCGCCTTCCCTGCTACAGCCGGAGGCACCACAGCAGGCGCACTGCTTGCTGCTGCTGCTGCTGCTGCTGCTGCTGCTGCTGCTGCTGTTGCTGCTGCTGTTCCTCCCGTGCCTCCAACCACCCCACCCCGTGCTGCCACTGCACCCACTGGCACTCCTGCAGGAGCGGTGACAGCAGGTGAGGGAGTGGGAGCAGGGGGGTCCAAACGGGCGTCAGTTGGGGAGGAAGGGGCGGACTTGTTGCCACCTGCTTCTCCTGCTCCCACCCCTGCTGCTCCCCCCTCGCCCACCTCCCCCCCGTCCTCCCCCTCCTCCCCATACACTGGCGAGTCATGCGCCCAGGGCAGGGGGGCATGCGGCAACACCCAGCAGAGCTGCTGCGCAGTTTCCAGGAAGGTGAGAGGCAGGTCGACTCGCAACCACGCAGCGAAGGCAAACACTTGCAGAGATGAGAACATGTGCTGTGTAAGGGGGGGAGGAGAAGAGGAAGGGGGGGAGAGGAGGAGAGTGAGGTAGGTGGATGGTGTGGAGGAGGAGGAGGTGGGGTAACATATGGCAAGCGAGAGATGGGTTTTGGGGCCTGACAAATGGTACCCACCACACCACACCACACCACACCACACCACACCACAACACAACACAACAGTACACTCGACCATGGATTCTAATGATTGAGCGGAAATGTTTGTCTAGATGTGCTGCAATCACCACACACGATGTACTCAGCAGAGGAGGCGGAGGGGGGGAGGAAAGGGAGGGGCAGGGGGAAGGGAGGGGAGGGGGATGGGGAGAGCGGATGCACTCACGAGCAGGTTCCTGGAGGGGGAGAGGGGCAGGCGGCCGTGCATGGGGGGGAGGAGGCCGCGCGTGGTAAGGGCAGAGGAGGAGAGCGAGTAGAGCGCGGAGAGAGCTGCTGCTGTGACCGTGGTGACGCTGATGGTGGTGCCGATGATGCTGGCCATGGCTGAGGGCGCGTCTGGGTTGGGGGAGAGGGGGAAGGGTGAAAAGTGGTGGGGAGCGGTGGGGAGGCATGGGGAGTGGTATAGAGAGGTAGGGCGGAATGGGGGAGAACGACTGCAGTGGCGACAATATGGTATGGAGGAGGGACGGTCTGGGAGGGGGGAGGGGGTTGAGGGAGAAGGAAATGGAAGGGAGAAAGACAAGAGAAAAACGAGGAAAAAAGGCGCATGGAAAGAGAGGCGGAACCGTGTGAAAATCCTAAGCATGCTCTTAAGATGGATGGAACAAATACATAGGACCAAAACGGAGACGGCAAAAAAGGAGACGAAAGAAGAGAAGATGGAGGAGAAGAGAACGGTGGAGGGGCGTACAGGTGACGTGGATGGTGTTGGAGGCGAGCGAGGTGGTGCCCCAGGGGGGTGAAAGATGGATGACACAACAACATGGAGCCGAGGTTGAGGAGAAGGAGATGGAAAGAAGAGAAGATGGAGGATAAAATAGCGGGAGAGCATACAGGTGGTTGCGGCAGCAGGAAGGAAGCAGGGAGACGGAGAGCGATGCGATGACATGCAGAGGGGGGGCTTACAGGTTATCCAATGGAGCCCCAGGGGGCTTACAGGTTATCCAATGGAGCCCCAGGGGGCTTACAGGTTATCCAATGGAGCCCCAGGGGGCTTACAGGTTATCCAATGGAGCCCCAGGGGGCTTACAGGTTATCCAATGGAGCCCCAGGGGGCTTACAGGTTATCCAATGGAGCCCCAGGGGGCTTACAGGTTATCCAATGGAGCCCCAGGGGGCTTACAGGTTATCCAATGGAGCCCCACTTAGGGGGTGTGTCTTTGCGAGGTGGTGCCCCAGGGGGCTTACAGTAGGGGGCTTACAGTAGGGGGCTTACAGTAGGGGGCTTACAGTTTACTTGGATGGTGTTGGAGGCGAGCGACGTGGTGCCCCAGGGGGTGGTGGCGGCGCCGGGAAGCAGGGAGATGGAGAGGGCGGCAGGGGGAGGTCCTGACTGGGGCAGGGTGATGCGAGCTAGGAAGGCCGCTGGGCTGACCCGCTCCACCCTGTTGGGATTGCAACAGGGGGGGGAAGGAGAGTGCGGGGGATGGGGGAAAAGGGGACGGGGATAAGAGAGAGGGCAATGAGTGCTGCTGCACTGATGTGCTCTCACAATTCTTTGTGCATCGCACAAACTTACATCCCTCATGCCGTCCCTCATGCTGTCCCCCATGCCATGCCATCCCTCATGTCATCCACGTCAACCCCTCTAGCTTCTTCCTCCATCCCATCTCGCACAGAACCGTCTCTACACACCCCTCTCCACCTTGCTCCACCGCACTCACCATGGCGCATTTGCCCCACCACCATTACACACACCACAAACACAGCCATCTCACTGCAGTCTAAACTCAACATATCTCACCCCATCGTTTGCATGCTATACAAAGTTTTGAGTACGAACCCATTTGTTACTCGTCACCCCATATCTCACACCCCATTCCTAACTGCTCCCAACCCAACCCGACTCACTGTTTCGGGCAGGAACCATGGTTACCACCATCACCATGCCATTCACCAAAATTGCCCCCTTCTCTGAATGCTCAAGTGCCATTCGATTCAACATGGCCAATACTCAACCACTGCATCCTTCTTTCCCTCTGCTCCCCCATTTCTCCCGCCAACAATCATCTCTCGACGCCCCCACTCACCACTCCACGCGGGCACCGTCTGTCCCATTCACCGCGATCGTGCCCTGCCGAATGCTCAACACCCCAGCCAATGCTTCTTTCTTCCCATTTCCTCCCACCAATCCTCCACACCCCGACTCACCACTCCACGCGGGCACCGTCTGTCCCATTCACCGCGATTGTGCCCTGCCGTATGCTCCATGTGTCATCTGACTCCACATTCGGATACCCACTCCTGCTTCCTCCCGAGAACACTCTCCCCCCCAACTCACACCACCATGCCCCCACTCACCACTCCACGCGGGCACCGTCTGTCCCATTCACCACGATCGTGCCCTGCCGTATGCTAGACACCGGCGCCGACGCGTTGATCAGAAACGTCAGCTCCCTCTGCGCCACCTTATACGATGCTGCCGGCGCCGCTGCTCCTGCTGCCCCTGCTGCTTCTGATGCTACTGCTCCTGCTCCTCCTACTGCTGCTCCCCCTGCTGCTGAGTTCGATCCATTACTGGGCGACGCTGTGGGCAGCACTGGCGCCAGCGAGGGTGGCGAGGGCAGCGAGGAGGAGTCAGCAGGGGTAGTGCTGTCTGGTACGGTGCTGCCCGGGGGCCAGAGGATGGGCCCTGAGCCTACCCCACTGCGGTAGGTGTCGGGGTGCTGCAGGAGTGACACGTGCATGCTGGCTGGGTGGGTGCCTGTGGGGGGAGGGATGGAGTCAGAAGGAGGGAAGTGAGGAGGAGTCAGCAGGGGCAGTGCTGTCCGGCACGGTGCTGCCCGGGGGCCACATGATGGGCCCTGAGCCCACCCCACTGCGGTAGGTGTCGGGGTGCTGCAGGAGTGACACGTGCATGCTGGCTGGGTGGGTGCCTGTGGGGGGAGGGATGGAGTCAGAAGGAGGGAAGTGAGGAGGAGTCAGCAGGGGCAGTGCTGTCCGGCACGGTGCTGCCCGGGGGCCACATGATGGGCCCTGAGCCCACCCCACTGCGGTAGGTGTCGGGGTGCTGCAGGAGTGACACGTGCATGCTGGCTGGGTGGGTGCCTGTGGGGGGAGGGATGGAGTCAGAAGGAGGGAAGTGAGGAGTCAGCAGGGGCAGTGCTGTCCGGCACGGTGCTGCCCGGGGGCCACATGATGGGTCCCGAGCCCACCCCACTGCGGTAGGTGTCGGGGTGCTGCAGGAGTGACAGGTGCATGCTGGCGGGGTGAGTGCCTGGCAGGTCAACAGGGGAGAGAGGTATGGGGTGAGGTAGGAACGGATGAGATGCAGAGGGCAGCACTGAAGCCAGCGAGGGTGGCGAGGGCAGCGAGGAGGAGTCAGCAGGGGCGGTGTTGTCCGGTGCAGTGCTGCCACATGATGGGTCCCGAGCCCAGTCCACTGCGGTAGGTGCTAGGGTGCTGCAGGAGTGAGAGGTGCATGCTGGCTGGCTGGGTGGGTGCCTGGCCTGGCAGGTGTTTGGGTCGGGGGGGATGGTGGGGTGGGTTGGGAAGAGGCGTGGGGGCTTAGAAGGAGTCAAGGAAAATAGGAAGTGGGTGTGGTGGTCATGCAGTAGAGACAGGTGCATGCTGGCCGGGTGGGTGCCTGGTTTATTATCAGTAGGGATGGGGTGGGTTGGGAGAGGGGATGAGGTGGATTGGAGAGGGACGGGGTGGGATGGGAAGGGATGGGGTGGGTTGGGGAGGAAATGAGGCGAAGGGAGGAGATGGGCTGAAGGGAGGAGGTGAGGTGCAAGGAGGGCAAGGTTAGCGATGATGGCAGAACGCACCGAAGATGATGGCGGCGGTGTTGGACTGCTGGTTGAGGTTGCCGTGCACACTCACGAGGCGTTGGGATTTGAATAATAACGTAACAATGATACTCAGCCATTCTGAGGGCTGCAGGCACGCACCGAAGATGATGGCCGCGGTGTTGGACTGCTGGTTGAGGTTGCCGTGCACACTCACGAGCGTGTTGGGCTTCACTGTCACTGTGATGATGCCCGGGTTCACAAATGGCACCACCTGGCGGTCAGAGGAGGGTAGGGAGGGATGGCAGAAGGAAGCAGGATGGCAGGAGGAAGAGGGATGGCAGGAGGAAGAGGGATGGCAGGAGGAAGAGGGATGGCAGGAGGAAGAGGGATGGCAGGAGGAAGAGGGATGGCAGGGAGAATGGATGACTTGGCATCAACATCACGGTCCAAACAAGGGCCGTCCTTCTCACTCAGAACAGCATTCATGCAGAACTTGACTTGAAGTGCTGCCGTAACAGCCTGGCAAGCACTACTGGGCATCTTCCAGTGACATTGTGGGTGGCATGGCATGACATGGCATGGCATGGAAGCTTCCCTGGCAGCAGCATTCATGCAGAACTTGGCTTGAAGTGCTGCCCTGCCAGCCTGGCGAGCACCACTGGGTAACCTCCACTGACACGGAGTGGCATGTCACGGTGTGTGGTATGACATGGCATGTCACGGTGTGTGGCATGGCGTGGCATGTCACGGTGTGTGGTATGACATGGCATGTCAAGGTGTGTGGTATGACATGGCATGTCAAGGTGTGTGGTATGACATGGCATGTCACGGTGTGTGGTATGACATGGCATGTCAAGGTGTGTGGTATGACATGGCATGTCAAGGTGTGTGGTATGACATGGCATGTCACGGTGTGTGGTATGACATGGCATGTCACGGTGTGTGGTATGACATGGCATGTCAAGGTGTGTGGTATGACATGGCATGTCAAGGTGTGTGGTATGACATGGCATGTCACGGTGTGTGGTATGACATGGCATGTCAAGGTGTGTGGTATGACATGGCATGTCACGGTGTGTGGTATGACATGGCATGTCAAGGTGTGTGGTATGACATGGCATGTCAAGGTGTGTGGTATGACATGGCATGTCAAGGTGTGTGGTATGACTATGACATGGCATGTCAAGGTGTGTGGTATGACATGGCATGTCACGGTGTGTGGTATGACATGGCATGTCAAGGTGTGTGGTATGACATGGCATGTCACGGTGTGTGGTATGACATGGCATGTCAAGGTGTGTGGTATGACATGGCATGTCAAGGTGTGTGGTATGACATGGCATGTCACGGTGTGTGGTATGACATGGCATGTCAAGGTGTGTGGTATGACATGGCATGTCACGGTGTGTGGCATGGCGTGGCATGTCAAGGTGTGTGTATGACACTCACGCGGAACTTGAACAGCCGGCCTGAAAGCCGGGCGAGCACCACCGGGTAGCCGCCAGTGACGTTGAGCGAGTTGAGCAGCCGCTGCTTCAGCGACGACGCAGAGCTTGTCGCATCCGTGCCATCTTCTGCTGCGTCACCTGCTGCACCGCCTGCGCTCCTCGCCTTCCCAGAGCTTAGTGCCGCTCTTGACACCCCTGCTGCGGCAGGCCCTGTTCTCCCCCCCACTCCTCCCGCACCTCCTCCTGCGGTCTCCTCGAAATTCAACGGAGCATCCGATTCCGCTTCACTCTCCTCATCACCCTCATCACCCCCAGCAGCAGTCTCAGAGATATTCGCCACAGTGGGGGTGAGCGGGGCGACGGAGGGGATGCGAGTGGAGAGGACGAGGTAGAAGACGAGGTCGAGGGGGCGGTGGGAGGAGAAGAGCTGGTGGCACGACGGCATGGGGACCAGGACTGTGCTGTTTGCTAGAGCTTCCACTGACCCCACCACCACTGCACGCGCACTACTGCTGCTGGTGCCGGTGCTGCTGATACTGCTGTTGGCGCTGCTGCTGCTGCCGCCACCGTTCCTGCCTGGAACGTTCCCCCATCCACTGCCGCTGCCACCCATGCTGCCCATAGGAATCCCACCACCGACTGCACTCAACTTTATGCTGCCAGTGCTGATCCCACTGGTGAGACCCATGGTACTTGCATCACTGCTGCTGCTGCCAGGGGCGCTGCTGCTGCCAGGGGCGCTGCTGCTGCCAGGGGCGCTGCTGCCACTGCCGCTCCCCAGATCAACAACCACAGGCGAGCAGCCTCTGCCGTCGGCTAAACCGCCCCCACCGTTGCTGCCGCTGCTGCTGCCACTGCTGCTGCTATTGCCAGTGGCAGCAATTCTGGCGGCAGCACCCTGCACCCAGGAAGCGAGCTGGTCTCCATAGGTGTCGGTGAGAGATGTGAGGCTGACCGGCTGCATGGCGGCTGCCAACAGCGCCACTGTGAAATTGCTCAGATCTGGAGAGGAGGGTGGGGGGACGAGAGGAGGGGAAAGTGGGAGCGAGTCGTGGGTCGTGGGGAGGGGGGCGAGTGGAGCAGGAAAAGGGGGTGTGAGAGTGATGATGAAGTGTGCTTTCATGGGGAGGGGTGACAAGGTGACGTGCGGACAGAGGCATAGCGGCGAGCAGAGAGGCGACGCGTCACCATATCATATCACACGCGCACTCTGTCTCAGAACTGCAGGCTTACCATATCGGATGCGAATGACGGTGTTGTTGCCCTGCTTCACTGCACACGCGTGTGGTTACCACACATGTTCTCATGCATGCGCACAGCTTTTGAGACGTCTCAGAACTGCAGGCTTACCATAGCGGATGCGGATGACGGTGTTGTTGCCCTGCTGCACGAACGTGCGGTTACCACACGCGTCCTCCCGCACGCGCACCACCACCCGCCCCGTGAGCTCCGTGGGCAGCACGTCCACTGTGTACTCTCGCCCCCACCGCACCTGCCGCCACGATGCATGGTCAATAACCCCGCTCTCGCGCACTCTCAGCTGGTGGCAAAGTCGAACAAGGGGGTGAAGAGGGAGGGAGGGCGAGCGGGAGGAGGGTGAGCAGCGGAGAAGGGTGAGCGCCGTGGGGGGAGCACGTCCACCGTGTACTCTCGGCCCCACCGCACCTGCTGCCAGGAGGCGTAGTCAATGGCTCCACTCTCACGCACTCTCAGCTGGTCGCACAGTCGAACAGGGCGGAGGAGAGGGAGGGAGAGAGGCAGGAGGGTGAGCAGCAGGGAGGGAGAGTGAGCGCCATGGGAAAAGTGTCCACTGTGTACTCTCGCCCCCACCGCACCTGCCTCCACGACGCATAGTCTATAATGCCGCTCTCCTGCACTCTCAGCTGGTGGCACAGTCGAACAGGGAGAGGGAGGGGGAGTGAGGCAGGAGGGTAAGCAACGTCCACTGTGTACTCTCGCCCCCTCTGCACCTGCCGCCACGATGCATAGTCAATGACTCCAATCTCACGCACTCTCAGCTGGTGGCACAGTCGAACAGGGAGGTACAGAGGGAGAGGGAGAGAGGCATGAGGGAGCGGTGAGGGAAGTGGAGGGAGGGGGGGTGTTGGGCTTCGTGGGAGAGGGTGGGGGACGGGTGGCGGAGGGATGGAGGGGTGAGAGGAATTGAAACCGCCATAAGGAGGCACAGGCACAGGGAGGGGCATAGGGGAGTTAAGAGGGCCACACTGTAACGGGAGGGACGGCGGGTGACGGGGGATGATGGAGGAAGCGAAAAAAACTCGTGTAAAAAAAGATGTGTCTTCTGCTACGTGAATGAATACATGTAAAGGAAGGCAATTGCTGTCTGTGCGAAAACGTGCTGGGGATGGAGGGTCATGTGCTTATGACAGGGAGCCCATATACGTTCTGTGAACGCTCGGATGAAAGAAGAGGTCACATTCCCACAGTGACAGTGAGTGTGGGTGCGTGTGACTATACCGAGCAGTGGTGGGTGTTGGTGCGGGGCCATACCGAGCAGAAGTGTGCGTTGCAGCGGAAGGCAGGGCAGGGGCGGTTGAAGAGGATGGTGACGTGGGAGCGGTTGCTCTGCTGGGTGATCCTCGTGTAGGTCATGCTGGGCTGCATGGGCACTGCTGCCACTGCACGTAGGGGAGAGGGCGGGGGAAGGTAAGGGGAGGGGAGGAGTTGCGAGGGGCGTGGCAGGGTGAAGGTCATGGTGAGAGCGGTTGCTCTGCTGAGTGATCCTCGTGTAGGTCATGCTGGGACTCATGGGCACTGCTGCCACTGCACGCATGGTGGGGAAAGGGGGGAAAATGCGGGGGGGGGAGAAGGGAGGGGGGTAAGTGGGAGGGAGGCGAGAGGGAGGTGAGGTGTGAGGGACAAGACGGGTGAAGGTCATGCTGGGCTTCACGGGCGCTGCTGCCACTGTGCGCATTGGGGGGGGGAGGAGGGGGGGAAAAGGGGAGGGGGAGGAGGGAGGCAGGGAAGAGGTGTGAGGAACAAGGCAGGGTGAAGGTCATGCTGGGTCTGAGGGTGGGGGGAGAGGGGGGTGCGGAGGGGAGGAGGGCGGAAGGGAAGGGCGGGTGTGTGAGGTGCGAGGGGCGTGGCAGGGTTGAACGCAACGAGCTCGTTGGGGCACTGCAACGAGCCACTGCACGCACGGATGAAAGGAAGGGGGGGAGGAGGGAAGAGCGGGAGGAAGAGGGAAGGAAAGGGGAGGGACGTGAGGTGAGGTGTGAGGGACAAGGCAGGGTGAAGGCCATGCTGGGGCTCATGGGCGCTGCTGCGCGCATGAAGGGGGAGGGGGGAGGCGGAGAGGGGGTGTAGAGGGGGTAGAGAGTAGGAGGAGGGGGGGAGGAGGAGGGGAAGAGGATGGGGAGAAGGGGGTGTGAGAGGGGGAGAGAGAAAGGGGAGAGGGGAGAGAGAGCGAGTGAAAGCTGGGGGAGATAGGAGAGGGAGAGGGTGTGAAGAGGTGCGGGAAAGACGGGGGAGAAGGGGGAGCGGGCTGAAGGTTATGCTGGGCCTCATGTGCGCTTCTGGGAGAGAGTGCGCCTTATGGCCGCTGCTGCTGGGGGCGAGGCAGTACGGGGGGCAGCGCGAGGTGCGATGGGGGGAGGAGAGAGGCGTGGAAGAGGGAAGAAGAAGGGAGAGGGACGGGCCCACATGGAAGGAGTGTTTTGAGACGTCTCAAAACACTCCTTCTTTCAGGAGGAGAGAGGCGTGGAAGAGGGAAGAAGAAGGGAGAGGGACGGGCCCACATGGGGTGGCGGTGGGAGGGAGACACATGGGTGGGTGGCGGAGGACTGTGGGCGGGGCAAGGGGAAATACAGGTGAGGGTGTCGAAACGAAACAGCTTGCGCATGTGCGTGCGGCCTCAGGGCTGTTTTGAGTCGACTCAAAACACACAGGTGAGGGTGTCAAAACGAAACAGCTTGCGCATGTGCGTGCGGCCACAGGGCTGGCCCGGAGGGCGGGCAGGGCGGGGAAAGGGGGGCGCCAGGGAGGGCGGGGACGGCGGGGAGGGCGGGGAGGGTGGAAGGGGGTGGAGAAAGAGAAATCGCACGAGGATGGGGGAAAGAGAGGTGGATAGCACACATGGGAGGGAGAAGGGGAGGGAGAAGGGGAGGGAGAAGGGGAGGGAGAAGGGGAGGGAGAAGAGAAAGCTGGGAAGCACACAATGCGTGGCGGCCTTTCCTGCCCCACCATTCCGCCCGACCCAGGCTGTTTCCCTCACCCTTCCGCGAATTGCGTAATCCCACGCCCTGCCACTCGTCCCTGCCACTCGTCCCTGCCACTCGTCCCTGCCACTCGTCCCTGCCACTCGTCCCTGCCACTCGTCCCTGCCACTCGTCCCTGCCACTCGTCCCTGCCACTCGTCCCTGCCACTCGTCCCTGCCACTCGTCCCTGCCACTCGTCCCTGCCACTCGTCCCTGCCACTCGTCCCTGCCACTCGTCCCTGCCACTCGTCCCTGCCACTCGCCCCTGCCACTCGTCCCTGCCACTCGTCCCTGCCACTCGTCCCTGCCACTCGCCCCTGCCACTCGTCCCTGCCACTCGTCCCTGCCACTCGTCCCTGCCACTCGCCCCTGCCACTCGTCCCTGCCACTCGTCCCTGCCACTCGTCCCTGCCACTCCTTGGGTGCTCCCCCTGCGTGCCCCTGCTTATCTCACCACATGCGACCCGCTTAGCCCTGTCTGCTCCTGTGCGAGCCCACCATCCTACCTCAATTGACCATGGCCCATCCCAGCACCCCTAACGTCACTCACCTTTAAAATCACCCTACTGGCTCCTGCTTCTCTCCCTCTCCCCCTTCCCTCCCACAACCTCCCACACGATGAACTGCGAGACGACATCTGCGCACCTGCCCGCACCTGACTTTCGAACTTGCACCACTTCATGCGCCGCCATTCTCATCTCCTGCACTTCAATGTCCTACCTGCCTTCTCGCCTGACAATAAAGGCCCCACCGGTTTTACCCCCTCCCGTTTTCCGCCTCGCCTCTATATGTCCCTCCTGCCCCACAACGGGTACGAGCTTACCGCCAAATCCCTCTCCTCCACCACCCATCTTTGTGTCGCCACCTATCGCCACCTATCGCCACCTGTTGCCAACTATCGCCACCTATCGCCACCTGTTGCCAACTATCACCACCTGTCGCCACCTGTCCGTAGCACCCTTGCCTCATCCTGCTTCCGCTTCCTCATAGCCCCCACACTGCCGCACGCCCCTCATATCTCTCCCGCCCCTCTCAGCAGCGCCCCACCTCATCGCCCTTCCTCTTTCCCCTCTGTCAATGCCTCGCCGGTCTTGACTTCTCCCACCTCCTTGCTTTCCATGCCACACCGTGCCTGCCGCACCCTGCCTCGCCTCGCATGCCCTCTCCAGTGTCCCCTCGTTACCAGCACAGCACCCTACAGCAGCGACCACATCCATCGCCCTCGGATCGGAGCCCCTACCAACAGCAAGCCCACACCACTGCATCCGCTCCCCTGCTGCTCTTGTTGTCCAGCGGTCGCAAGCCTGCTGCTCTCGTCGTCTAGCGGCCGCAAAGCCTGCGGCGCCTTCATCTGTTCGCTGTCCTTCCTAAGCCATCTTCCCGTCTATTCTAATGCCGTCTTCCGTCTACACTAATGCCGTTGTTCCGCCTAGCCTAATCCCGTCCTTTCAGCATCTATCGCCCTAACTCCCCCCCTCTCTGATCCCCCGAGCCCCCTCATCCGCCCCTCACCTGATCCCGCCTCCACTCCGCCCGGCGCGCCCACCACGAAGTCCAGAATGCCCCACCCGCTCGCCTGCCCGCTTTTCTCCTGCGCCACCACGTCGAACCGGTGGTAACCGTCCTGCACGTCCGTCAGCCGCACTCGCCACGTGTCGCACGGAATCATCCATTGGTCCAGCTGGCCGGCGGGAAAAACGGGTTTGCAAAAAAAGAAGGCATTCAGCCCAGAGGAAAGAAACTGTTGACTCGAGAATTAAAACACGAGGAGGAAAAACACAACCGGCACTTTTTGCAATACGCACACTGCGTGACAAAGACACACTTAAAGCCCGAACCTGCAATCTCAAAAAGGAATGAAAGAGATCTTCAATTGGAAAAAGCCAGCACTGCTGGCAGAGAGAGACATTACGTGAGGGAGTCATGTCTCCGCACATCTCGTCACTTTCACTCTGACCGCTTACCGCGCACGACACGAGGCAGTCGCGGCACGTCTCGTTGCCGACGATCTTGCGCACGTCGAAGTAAATCCGCACCACCTGCTTCCCCTTCTTCGACTTCCCCTGCGCGCCCGAGGGAAAGAGAACCTTCAACCTGAGCGCTGCCAGTACGTTGTCGCTGCCCGTCGCCGCAGCCCCACTCGTCGTTGATCGCCTATTCCGCTTCAGCAACATTTTGTCGTCGGGCAGCGGGGTCGGATTGCTGCCCGGAGAAATGTTTCCCACCCAAACCACGTCTTCAGGCCCGGATTCGTCCAGCCCGTTATCCTCGCTATAGTAGTCCTCGTCATAGTCCGGATCCGATTTGGCTACAGGCGACGGCGCTACAGAAGGGGAAACGGGGCGTGCAGGAGTGTGACTAGTACCGGGAGGCGGCGTTAGGGTTTGAACGGCCAGCGCGCGCCTGTCTGTGAAGCTGCTAGCTGCCTTAGCCGCCTCCCGCGTCGACTGTAAGGACGGCGTTCGGGTTTGAACGGGCGGCGCACGCGTGTTTGAGAAGCTATCCGGCGCGTCTACTGCATCACGAGTAGCTGTAGATAGCTCGTAAACGGACGGCCTGGATGCGATCACGAGATGGCAGCGTAAGAACAGAGCCAGCGCTAAGACCAAGCATGCTGCTGACGATTGTAACTGTGTAACGGTCGCGTGGTTTCGCCGTCGATTCGTCGCCTGGTTTCGTCTAGTCGTCGCCTGAGTCTGCCTATTTCTTACTTTTCGAGGCGCGAGCCGACGGCGCTGTGTTGAAAGGGAAATCTCAGGCTGTGCTTTCGATCGCTGTGACGGCTCTATTGTATCATGGAGGTCTACTAGAACGGGTTGTATGAAGGTGGAAAAGGTGGGGTTTCCTCGGTGCGTGAATCTCTCCGTGTAGAACGAGGCCGGCTTCGAGCTGCACGGCCGAAACGCCATTTTGTACTAGTTAGTAACCACTAACCAGCAGCTTGCCACAGCGACTATTTCTCTCATTGGTTCTTAACGCGGTCTCCGTAAGGGGTTCGAGTGATAAATGTTGGAGATGTATTGACATTACAAAAGCAAAGGGCATGGCGTGAGATCGACAGCTGAAAGATTTGCGATATGCGCAGTCGCAGAAGGGCGGGAAGATAAGCTATAAGTTGACCCTAGCTAGACCAGAGCTACCTCCACTCCACTCTGATCAGCTCGACAGGACTCCCGCCTACCATAACTCGGTAGTGGCAGCACTGCCAGCCAGAAGTGAAACCCTGGAGGGTGGATTCAAATCTTACAGTTGCAGTTTTCCCGCCAAATGCTGCACCCCCAACCAATAGAGATTACGAGTCAGGAGCCGCGTTTCTGGAGGTGATTTTCTGACCACATCTGACCGCTCTGGGAGTGACGAGAAACGCCGACATGCTATCTAATACCCACACTGACTTCATTTTGTGGAAAAAGGGGGGAGGCGAGGAAGGAGAAAGAATTGGGGGGGGGGGGATGAGCAGCAGTTTGGATGGTTTAGAGGGGTTGATTGGGCGATGGGGACGAATATGAGGTTTTCCTTCGGTCTGTTCATAGTGCAGCCTATCGTGTCAAGCACACCGTGCAGGGTTTCAGCTCGGACTTCTGTGCAGGCATGTGCAGTGGTTGTTCGGATCAAGGAATTCGTAAGTTCCAAACCGCACTGCATCGTCGAAAAGTTTGTGTTTCGTGGGTAATGGATGCTTCGTGCAGTATCCTAACCTCTCTCCCAAACTTGCCAAGGCTCGCCTTGGGAGGGAGGGGCGAATCTCGGTGCTTTTCCTTCCGAACGTGCTGGTTTGGCACGTCCCCTCGGTACAGTGCCACCCTCTTGCCTGCCCCATTCCATCCCGTGACCCGTCGTGGGTGATCAGTTTTTGTTCCAACAAACCCCAAAACCGCGGCACCAGAAACCCCGTTTCTTTGCTCGTTTTCCTGCCTTCCTCCCTATTGTTTCTGCTTGCATTATCGATTAGCCGGCTATTTGCGGCTATTTGCTTCCTAAGCGTAGGAAGCAGGTCTCTAATGGCGCGGGTTAAAGTGACTGCTGAGAAGAAGGGCAAGAAGAGAAAGGAGGCGACGGCCAATGGGGTGGAGAAGACCAAGAAGGCTAAAACAGATGCGAATAAAGAAAGGGATGCTAATAAGGAGAGTTTATCTCTCTTGGCTGTCCCGCGCCAAGTGCAGCTGAAGGTGAAGAAGGGCAGGGTTGTGGAGGAGGCGAAGATTGCTGCGAAGAAAGCGAACGAAAAGGAGGTCAAGGCGAAGAAGGAGAAGAAGGGAAAGAAGGGGACGGAGACCGCGGAGATTGTAGAGAAGAAAGAAAAGAAGGAGACGAAAGAAGTTAAGAAGGGGAAAAAGGGTGAGGAGACGACGGAAGTAACAAAAAGGACAGAAAAAAGAGAGACGACGAAAGAGATGAAGGGTAGCAAGAGGGAGAAGCGGGAGTTGAAGGAGGCAAAGCAAGTGGTAGTGAAAAAGAAGATTAAAGACGTGAAAGCGGAGAAGAAGGGAGCGACGGAGGGGGAGAAGGGGAAGAAGAAGGAGAAGGGGAAAGAGGGAGAGAAGACCGGCAAGAAGGGGAAGAAGGGCAAAGAGGAGGTGAAGGAGGAAATTAGTGATGAGGAGATGGAGGAGGCGAGTGAGGAAAAGAGTGAGGAGGAAAGTGAGGAGGAGAGTGAGGAGGAGGAGGAGGAGGAGGAGGAGGAGGAGGAGGAGGAGGAGGAGGAGGAGGAGGAGGAGGAGGAGGAGGAGGAGGAGGAGGAGGAGGAGGAGGAGGAGGAAGAGAGTGAAGAGAAGGAAGAGGAGGAGAAGAAAGTTGTTAAGGAGGTTGCAGCGAAGGAGAGCAGTGAGGAGGAGGAGAGTAGCGATGAGGAGGAAGAGGAGGACGAGGAGAGTGAGGAGGAGGAAGAGGAAGAGAAGAAATTAGTGAAAAGGGAGGAGAGCAGTGAGGAGGAGGAGAGTAGTGAGGAGGAGGAGAGTGAGGAGGAGAAGGAGAGTGAGGAGGAGAAGGAGAGTGAGGAGGAGAAGGAGAGTGAGGAGGAAGAGAGTGAGGAGGAGGAAGAGGAAGAGAAGAAAGTTGTAAAGGAGGTAGCAGCGAAGGAGAGCAGTGAGGAGGAGGAGAGTAGCGATGAGGAGGAAGAGGAGGAGGAGGAGAGTGAGGAGGAAGAAGAGGAAGAGAAGAAAGTAGTGAAAAAGGAGGAGAGCAGTGAGGAGGAGGAGGAGAGTAGTGAGGAGGAGGAGAGTGAGAAGGAGGAAGAGAGTGAGGAGGAGGAAGAGGAAGAGAAGAAAGTAGTGAAAAAGGAGGAGAGTAGTGAGGAGGAGGAGGAGAGTAGTGAGGAGGAGGAGAGTGAGAAGGAGGAAGGGAGTGAGGAGGAGGAAGAGGAAGAGAAGAAATTAGTGAAAAAGGAGGAGAGCAGTGAGGAGGAGGAGGAGGAGAGTAGTGAGGAGGAGGAGGAGAGTAATGAGGAGGAGAGTGAGAAGGAGGAAGAGAGTGAGGAGGAGGAAGAGGAAGAGAAGAAAGTTATAAAAGAGGTAGCAGCGAAGGAGAGCAGTGAGGAGGAGGAGAGTAGTGATGAGGAGGAAGAGGAAGAGAAGAAATTAGTGAAAAAGGAGGAGAGCAGTGAGGAGGAGGAGAGTAGTGATAAGGAGGAGGTGGAGGAGGAGGAGGAGAGTGAGGAGGAAGAGAGTGAGGAGGAGGAAGAAGAGAAGAAAGTAGTGAAAAAAGAGGAGAGCAGTGAGGAGGAGGAGAGTAGTGATAAGGAGGAGGTGGAGGAGGAGGAGGAGAGTGAGGAGGAAGAGAGTGAGGAGGAGGAAGAAGAGAAGAAAGTAGTGAAAAAAGAGGAGAGCAGTGAGGAGGAGGAGAGCAGTGATGAGGAGGAAGAGGAGGAGGAGGAGGAGGAGGAGGAGGAGGAGGAGGAGGAGGAGGAGGAGGAGGAGGAGGAGGAGGAGGAGGAGGAGGAGGAGAGCGAGGAGGAGGAAGAGGAAGAGGAAGAGACGAAAGTAGCGAAAAAGGAAGAGGAGAGTAGTGATGAGGAGCAGGAGAGCAAGGAGGAAAAGAAAGTCGTGAAAGAAGAGGAAAGCAGTGAGGAAGAGAGTAGTGGAGATGACGAGAGTGAGGAGGAGGAGGAGGAAGAAAACGCAAAGAAGTTAAATGTGAAGGAGACCGAGAAGAAGAAGGGGGGACAGCAGCAGCAGAAGGAGCAGCAGAAACAGCAGGAGGAGCAGCAGAAGGAGCAGCAGAAACAGCAGGAGGAGCAGCAGAAGGAGCAGCAGAAACAGCAGGAGGAGCAGCGGCAGCAGATTGTATGGCAGGCGACGCCTGGCAAGGTACTGGGTGGGCGGCAGTGCTTGGAATATCTCGTGTAGTTGGCTTTTATGAGGGTCACATGTGCAGTGGTGGATGTAGCAAGCGTGCGTTCTGAGAGCTCTCCTGCTTGATGGCGTCTCATACTTTAGCAAGCAGCAAGCAGGGCAGCGCTGCAGGAACCGCACTCCATGCCCCGGATTGTGGGCTCCACCCCATTCCCCACCCATGCTCTATTCCCATGCCGCTTCCACTCCCCCCTCTACACCCCCTGCCCAGCTCGCAGGCAGCAAGAGGGCCTTTGACGCCATCTCCCCGGGATCAGGCAGCAAGCCGGGCAGCGCTGCAAGAGCGTTCCAGAGAGTGAAGGTGGAGGAGGTGAGTGCGAGGCTTCCTTGTCCTTTCCAGTGAATCCGAATAGAGCACCACCACTCCTTAGCTAGTCCAGCACTCTGTATGCTGTTCGGGCTAAGTCCAGTCCAGAGGCACTCCTTAGCACCACTCCTCACTGGCACTCCACCCTGTCTTGTATCAAGCACTCATCACTCCTTTTGCTTCTCTCCCCGAACCTTCTCTTGCTCCTTGTCCCCAACACCCCTACAACCTGCCCCCCCCCCTCAGGTGCAATTCAAAGATCCCCGGCTCATGGATAACTCGTACTGGGCCAAGGTGAGTGGGGCTGGGGCAACATGGGGGTTGGTTACCACCCTACATGGGGGTTACCACCCTACATGGGGGGATGTGGCATGGGTGTTGGGGGGGCATGGACGGATGGGACATGGCTGTTGGCTCAGGTGCAATTCAAAGATCCCCGGCTCATGGATAACTCCTACTGGGCCAAGGTGAGTGGGGCTGGGGCAACATGGGGGTTGGTTACCACCCTACATGGGGGTTACCACCCTACATGGGGGTTACCACGCTACATGGGGGGATGTGGCATGGGTGTTGGGGGGGCATGGAGGGATGGGACATGGGTGTTGGCTCAGGTGCAATTCAAGGGCCCTCGGCTCGTGGAGAACTCGGACTGGGCTACGGTGAGAGGCTGGGACTCAACTCAGCACGCCTGGATGTTCCATGACATTACGGCGTGCTGAGGAGAGCTGATTACATGCTGTCTGGCTGTCTGTCATTCTCCAGCGAGCAGCAAAGCAAATTAGATGAGGCTGCTGAGATGAGCTAATTGCATTCTTTAGGTGCTTTCTTGTATGTGCCTATTCGCTCCCATGATGACACGTGTCCTTCCCATTTGCGGCGTGTCCTCCCCGTAGCCCGCTTTGCTTATCCGCCTTTGCTGCCTTGCCCGCCATCCTTCATGCACATGCCATGTGTCCGTCCCATGCCACGTGTGCTTGTGCCAATCAGAGCGGGGCGGGCAGTGGATGGGGCGCCAAGGCACAGGAGGTGCTGGGACAAGTCAGGGGCAGGTGAGAACAGCAGAGACATGGCAGGTGAGAACAACAGAGACATGGCAGGTGAGAACAGCAGAGACATGGCAGGTGAGAACAACAGAGACATGGCAGGTGAGAACAACAGAGACATGGCAGGTGAGAACAACAGAGACATGGCAGGTGAGAACAACAGAGACATGGCAGGTGAAAAGCAACAGTATTCCACTCTTTGTTGTCTTGTATCACAGGGCTATTGTCGTGTAATGCTGTGCTTTCAACTGCCTTGTTTCGCCAAAACACGAAATGCATGTATCTGTGTCATAATGCGCATTGCTTCTTGTTCTTGATGTTCCCGTATTCGCGGCACCTGTAATGTGTGGTTACCGCAGGGGTTTCCGCCATGAGAAGACGAAGAAGAAGAGGGGCAGCTACAGGGGTGGTATTATCGACCAGGAAAGCCATTCCATCAAGTTTGCTGATTCCGACGACGAGTAATTGCTGCATGCGATGCTGTGGAACAAACGGTATTTGGACCAAAAATATTATTATTGCATCAGAGATGGGTGGAGCACAGGGTGTAATAAATGTGTTCCCTTGAGTTGACTTCCAACATTGAATGACGTTGATGTGTATGATTGTCTAACAATATCATTTGCGTGGTTGAGAGGCAACCCAACCCAACCCGTGGTCATTTTTTGCCTTGCTACTGGTAATAATCAGCTCAGTGTTTGAAGTGAGGTTGGGGAGAATCTTGCACATGGTTGGGATTGACATTGGATGGCACCTCGGAAGGGCACGACCACCGCGAGAAGGAAAAAGAGCACACAGCTGAGGGACCAGACGTCGACCGTGTGGGTGTAGGAGTGCTGCAGCATCTCCGGTGCTATGAAGGCTGCCGCCGAACCTACTGTCTCCCTGCAGGAAACACCTGGAGATGTGAAGGGAAGGAGGAGGCGTTGGGTTAGGTTGGGCTGAGTTGGGTTGGAAGGAAGAAGAGCATGCAAGCAAGCAACCAGGCGTCCTTGGAGGCGCCTCGGAAGGGCACGGGTGGAAGGGCACGGGTGGAAGGGCACGGGTGGAAGGGCACGGGTGGAAGGGCACGGGTGGAAGGGCACGGGTGGAAGGGCACGAGTGGAAGGGCACGGGTGGAAGGGCACGGGTGGAAGGGCACGGGTGGAAGGGCACGGGTGGAAGGGCACGGGTGGAAGGGCACGGGTGGAAGGGCACGGGTGGAAGGGCACGGGTGGAAGGGCACGGGTGGAAGGGCACGGGTGGAAGGGCACGGGTGGAAGGGCACGAGTGGAAGGGCACGGGTGGAAGGGCACGGGTGGAAGGGCACGGGTGGAAGGGCACGGGTGGAAGGGCACGGGTGGAAGGGCACGGGTGGAAGGGCACGGGTGGAAGGGCACGGGAGGAAGGGCACGGGTGGAAGGGCACGGGCTTATAAAGGGGAGATATGAGAGCGCCACACCCTTGAATCTAGACCGTTGGTCGAGGATGAGGTAGATGGCCTGGGGAGACGGGGAGGACGGGCAGGAATGTGTGAGCTCCTGACCCGTGTGCCCGCCTGTTCGTCCTCTACTCTCATCCTAAGCACCCACTTGGTTCATCACGAGGTGACTTTTGAGTCGACTCGAAAGTCAATGTGGGAGCTCCTGACCCGTGTGCCCGCCTGTTCGTCCTCTACTCTCATCCTAAGCACCCACTTGGTTCATCACGCCCTCTACAGTCTACCAGCACCCACCTCCGCCTCCCTTACTGTCCCCCTCCTGTACCCTCACCCAAAGCACTCACCTGTTCATCCTCTATTGTCTCCACCAGCTGCACGATGTGAGGATGCGCTCGCACCGTCTCCCCTACTGTCTCCCAACACCCATCTCACTTGTTCGTCCTCTACTATTGTCTCCACCAGCTGCACGATGTGAGGATGCCCTCGCACCGTGTCCAGCACTGCCACCTCGATCATCACGCCCTCTACACCACCCAGTAGCACCCACCTCCTTGTCCCCTACTGCCATCTAGCACCCACCTCCTTGTCCCCTACTGCCAGCTAGCACCCACCTCCTTGTCCCCTACTGCCATCTAGCACCCACCTCCTTGTCCCCTACTGCCAACTAGCTCTTACCTCCTTGTCCCCTACTGCTGTCTAGCACCCACCTCCTTGTCCCCTACTGCCATCACGCCCTCTACCCACCTGTTCATCCTCTGTTGTCTCCACCAGCTGCACGATGTGGGGTGCCCTCGCACCGTGTCCAGCGCTGCCACCTCGTTGTGAGTCGGACCGAACAGTTTCTACTGTCACCCACCTGCTCGTCCTCCACTGTTTCCACAAGCTGCACGATGTGTGGATGGCCTCGCAACGTGTCCAGCGCTGCCACCTCGATCATCACGCCCTCCGCATCATCCTCGCTCTGCTGATGTGCCACGGCACCATCCATCCATCCAAACACATGCCATGCCATGCCATGCCATGCCGATGCCATGACACATGCCGTTAGGGATGAGCAAGGTGGCGAACACCTGTTCGGTTCGCCTCGAACGTGTTCGAGGCGAACCGAACAGGTTTTGTTTTTTAGCTCAAATCGTTCGCCGAACAGTGCTCGATGTTCGCCCGAACACGTTCGTGTTCGGGCCGCTGCTGAAATTTGCCCGCGACGAACACGAACAGTGTTCGAGGTTCGCCCGAACACGCCTCCACAGGCGAACAGCGAACACCTGTTTTTTCCCAAACTGTTCGCCGAACCGAACAGTGTTCGGTTCGGCAAAAGAGGGTGTTCGACAAGGGGCGAAGACGAACATGTTCGTGTTCGCCCTTTGCTCATCCCTACATGCCGTGCCATGCCATGCCGATATGACACATGCCGTGCCCCGTGCCATCACGTCACACATGCCACTCCCCATGCCATGCACCATGCCACGACATGCACCATGCCATGTCATGCAATGTGAAAAATACATGCACAAGAACATGATTCCAGGACATTCACACATGAGGAATGTATAGGAACAAGGGCGCAACTTAGACTGAGATGAAGAAGCGCGAAGTATTAACAAAAGAATGAACAAAACACGCCAAAACAACTAATAACTCGAAACGTCACAGCCTTATGAGAATTCTCTAGGAACAAGGGCGCAACTTAGACTGAGATGAATAAGCGCGAAGGAACAGGCAAAAAAGAAAAAGAAAAAGATAGTGATAACTTACAAGATGACAGCCTTCTCGCCAGTAATCTTCTCACCATAATGGTTGCTTTCTTGATCACTCCATGCACTCTCCCATGCACTCTCCCATGCACTCTCCCATGCACTCTCCCATGCACTCTCCCATACACTCTCCCATGCACTCTCCCATGCACTCTCCCATGCACTCTCCCATGCACTCTCCCATGCACTCTCCCATGCACTCTCCCATGCACTCCCATGCACTCTCCCATTCACTCCCATGCACTCTCCCATGCACTCCCATTCCATGCACTCTCCCATGCACTCTCCCATGCACTCCCATGCACTCTCCCATTCACTCCCATGCACTCTCCCATGCACTCCCATTCCATGCACTCTCCCATGCACTCTCCCATGCACTCTCCCATGCACTCTCCCATGCACTCTCCCATGCACTCTCCCATGCACTCTCCCATGCACTCTCCCATGCACTCTCCCATGCACTCTCCCATGCACTCTCCCATGCACTCTCCCATGCACTCTCCCATGCACTCTCCCATGCACTCTCCCATGCACTCTCCCATTCACTCCCATGCACTCTCCCATGCACTCCCATTCCATGCACTCTCCCATCCCATAACTGGAGTCTGTCTGTGTGACGGACCAGATGTAAGCAGCGAGGGCAAGCAGCATGTCCCATGACTGGTGTCTGTGTGTCCTGTGTGACCACATCGAGGGCACCCTTGCTGCCCTGCACAGCTCACTGGGCTGCACTGCCCTGCACAGCTCACTGGGCTGCACTGCCCTGCACAGCTCACTGGGCTGCACTGCCCTGCACAGCTCACTGGGCTGCACTGCCCTGCACAGCTCACTGGGCTGCACTGCCCCTGCACTGCCCTCCCTCGAAGCACCACTGCCCTCCCTCGCCTCGAAGCACCGCTGTCGACACCAACGAGGGCTGCACTGTGGGAGGCAGCACGAGTACCGGGCATGGCATCAGTGGCGACCACTCTAACCCACAACCCCTCCAACTTGGATGCCCTCAACACCATCCTTGCCCTATTTTCTCTAATGTTGCTCTTCTCCCTGCCATCCTCCCTCACCTCACCCTCCTGGTCCTCCCCTCTCCAGCCTCCCCCTCTGCACCCCACTCCCGCAAGCACTGCCGCAGCTTACATGCCAGCAGGCAAACACCTGCGCCCACCTGCCTGCCACACATGGGAGGGGCGGGAAGACGAACAGCTGACGAGAATCCCGAGCTGGCATGCCACCTCATGCTCATGCTCCCAACTGAAAGTGGGGAGGGGAGAGAAGTGGGTTTGGGGCGAAGGGTGGGGTGGGGGAGGGAGCGCTCAGAAAGATATGGTGGGTGGGTTGTGTGATGGATGGTACAGGACGGTGAAACCCAATGCAGGGTGGGAATGAATTAACAGGTGCTTGGGTGGGAAGCTTCATGGCATAGCAGGCCAGGCAGGCAGAGCATGGCATGCGGAATCTGAGCCACCAGGGAAAACACCTGACAGCCACACCAGGGAAAACACCTGACAGACACACCGTTAGCAGCCATGTGCCACACCCCCGCCACTGCCCCTCACCCCCGCCACTGCCCCTCACCCCCGCCACTGCCCCTCACCCCCGCCACTGCCCCTCACCCCCGCCACTGCCCCTCACCCCCGCCACTGCCCCTACCCCCCACCACTGCCCCTCACCGTCCTACTCTCCCCATGTCTACTCTCCCTGTCTCTACTCTCCCCGTCCTACTCTTCCCGTCCCTACATTCCCATTCCCTACTCTCCCCGACCTTACTCTCCCCGCCCCTACTCTTCCCGTTCCTATTCTTCCCGTCCCTAATCTCCCCGTCCCCACTCTCCCCGTCCCTACTCTACCCGTCCTTATTCTCCGCATCCCTACTATCTCAGTCCCTACTCTCCCCGTCTCTTCTCTCCCTGTCCCTACTCTCCCCGTCCTTATTCTCCGCATCCCTACTCTCTCAGTCCCTTCTCTCCCCGTCCCCACTCTCCCCGTCCCTACTCTCCCCGTCCCTACTCTCCCCGTCCCTACTCTCCCCGTCCCTATTCTCCCCGTCCCTACTCTCCCCGTCCCTACTCTCGTCGTGCATACTTCCATCGTCCCTATTTCCGCCTGCCTATTTCCCGTCCCTATCTTCGCCTGCCTATTTCCCGTACCACCGCGCATCACTCCGTGCCACCGCAGTCCCGCGCATCCCTCCACGAGTGGTGGCGACCGCCAACAGTGCTCGCGCGTGAATGCGCGCATCTCACCCGCCTCGTCACACGCACACCTGCCGCTTCAGTTCCGCCCACGCGGCTGCAGGCGCGCCTGGCGGAAGGGCGGTGGGCGCACGCCAGGCGAGGCGCGCAGCAAACGTGCACCGCGCACCGCTGCCACCGTGACTGGACCAGGGCGCACCATTCATACTTCCCAACGAAACTGGCCCTAGTATGTCGTACTAACTACTAACCTAGTCGCTGGTTCTTCAATCGAAAAAACGCGCTGCCAGCGTTGTCTTCACGTCATTTGCGATCCCCTGCTGTGCTCGCCATTGGTGTGAAGATGTTCTCGCTAGAAGAGGGCTTATGATTGCAGATAGTTCGCGGAATCAGTGAATATCGAGTGCGATTACAAAGAGAGTGATGATACAATTGAAATGAGCGGATGATATAGGGGAAACCCTAGCTAGGCGAGAGCCTCGGGAAGTGTGGCGAGTAGTGCGGGGGCGACTCGGGGGTGGTTTGGGGCGAGTTTGTAAGCCGAACCAGCTGACGCGAACCTATCGGAACAGTATTCGCTAAAAGGCTACAGCAGCAACTTAATATAATTTTGTGTGCAGTTATAGTTTCCTTTTTATTTGCAATTATCTACCAATGCAAGGCAGAAACACCCAGACACATAAAGATCAGAAAGAAGGCAGGGCAGCGGGCTAGCATGGGGTGGATGGCATGACTGGTGTCTGTGTGAGGGACCAGATGTGAGCAGTGAGGGCAAGCAGCATGTCCTGTGTGACCACCTCGAGTGCACCCTTGCTGCCATGCACTGCTCACTACACTGCCCCACCACTCCTTCCACTGCTGGCATGCATGACACACGCAAGACACCACGCCCCCTGGGGTGATCTGAGGAGTGAAAATGCACCATCGCACCTTGCACGGAAGGAAGTGCACCACGCCGCACTGCTGCTCCTTGCAGGCCAGCAGACCATCGCCTGCCCCCACCTGCCTGCCACGGGGAGAGACGGGAGGGCGAGCATCTTATGGAGAGCAGAGACGGGCAGAGAGCACAGATGCATCTGAGACGGGCATGCCACCTCATGCTCGCACCTGAGTGAGGGCGACTGAGGGTGAGGAGAGGTGAGAGGTAGGTATCAAGTGAAACGCGGGGAGATGGGAATGAAGGAGCGGGCGCATGGGTGTGTGATGCTTACACAGTAAAATCTGGCAAACGTGATGCCATGGCAGGTAGGCAGAGCACAAGCGGATTCCAAGCCACCAGCAGGGAATGTACCTGACATACACACCGTCAGCAGCAACGTGACTCACTCCCATCCCTGCCCCTCACCCCCACCACTGCCCCTCACTCCACCCATGTGCCGTCACCACTGCGCCTCACCTCCACCCTCCTGCTCCTCCGTACTCTCCCCCCACCCCTCCTTCCCTCTTCCAGTGGCTGACTACCACGTGGCAGGCCTGCTCGGCCTGCCAACTGCGAAGCCCTTCCACTACTGGCATGTGTGGCACGCCGCCCCCCTGGGACAGTGCACCACATCACCAAGCTGGGACACCACACCACCAAGCCGATAACTCCCTTAGCAATGGTTCATTCAGTTTGCTTGCACTTCTCTACTTTGCTTTCTTTCGATCGTGGAAGGGAAACAAGTTGCGGTAGAAGTGCGGTAGTTGCACCGAGCTCGGGTCTACTTCCCGCCAGCCTGCCCGGACCCTTCCCGCTAGCTCTTGTGCTGAACCGCGGGTCAGCCGAGCTGGTGGCGTTGGTTTCTATGTCTTGGCTGGGCTGCCAGCCTGCCACTGCAACAGTGGCGTGGCCATGCACCGCCTTCCAGGCTGGTCAAGCTGGAATTCAACTCAAACACCGCCTTCCTGAGCAACACCCCACCAACCTGGACTGGCTCCATACCAATTTCCTCAAACACCCCCACCCCACCCAACTCGGCTCTGAAATAGCTGCAAATTACAACACCACAGAAACAAAAAGTGTAGAACTATGGTACAAGTATGAAATCAAATCTCCTCCTCACCGTGGCTGATGTGTCGTTCACTTCACGCCACGCTCTTGGCTGGTGTTAGCTACGCAACTGCGCTCGACAAGACCCCCCCTGGGATGGTATGAGGCACAGTGGCATGGTGTGAGGGGCGAGGGGAGAGGAGAGGGGAGAGGGGAGAGGGGAGAGGGGAGAGGGGAGAGAGGATAGCGGAGAGGGGAGAGGGGAGAGGGGAGAGGCTCCCCCTCATCCCCTACGTCCGAGTTTCTCCCCCTTCCCCCCCTCCTTCCACCCTCCCTCCCCCATCCGCCCACCCGCCCCCCTTCCCCCCACCTCCCCGCCCTCCTCCTTCTGCCCTGGCAGCCCATTCTTCCTTCGACCGTGCCGGAGAGGGTCTGCGTGTAAGCCAACGCGTGCAAGCAGCGCCCCCATTGGAGCACATTCAAATCGCTCGCCCCGCCATCTCCCCCTCTTCCTTCGCCCCCCTTCCTTCCCCCACCCCCTCACCTTCGTCCCCATACCCGGTGGCTGGTATCTGCTGTTGAGTCAGGGAATTTTAGCAAGCACCCGAGCCTCACCCTAGCCGCGCACTCACGGCGGGGTCACGGGGGGGTCACGGCGGGGTCACGGGGGGGTCACGGCGGGGTGAGGGCAGAGCGGTGCATTGAGTGGATGAGCGCATCACGTGCGCGGTGTGGGGGTGGGCGTGGGGGGTGGGGAGGGGGGGGGGGGAGGGGGGTTGGGTTCTGGGAGGGCTCAGCACAACTCAACTCATTCGTGTCTCGTGGGGAGAGCGTGGAGAGCAGCAGGCAGCGCGGAGAGCAGCAGGCAGAGTGGAGAGCAGCAGGCAGAGTGGAGAGCAGCAGGCAGCGCGGAGAGCAGCAGGCAGAGTGGAGAGCAGCAGGCAGAGTGGAGAGCAGCAGGCAGAGTGGAGAGCAGCAGGCAGAGTGGAGAGCAGCAGGCAGAGTGGAGAGCAGCAGGCAGAGTGGAGAGCAGCACGGAGCGCGGAGAGCAGCAGGGAGCGCAGAGAGCAGCAGGGAGCGCGGAGAGCAGCAGGGAGCGCGGAGAGCAGCAGAAAGCGCGGGGGTTGAATAGATTTGACGAGGCGACAGCGTCAAGCTCTTTCGCACTTCTCGCCTCACATCAAATCACGATGCGTGAGGAGGGGAGCGAGGGGGAGGGCGTGAGGAGCTGCGGCATGAGTGTTGGCGGGGAGGAAGGGGAGGGGAAGGGGGTTGGAAGGATGGGAGGGCGGTATCCACTTCACACCCCTAACGCCACGCTCTCGCGCTCGCGCTTCTGCTACGGAGCGATGCGAGGTGACGGTGCGAAGGCGTGCTCAGATTGGCGCACTCGCTGTGCGAAGGCGCGCTCGGCGGACGGTGCTGGCGAGTACGATTGGCGGCCCGCGAGAGCGTGTCACGGCGGGCAGACGAGCAGCGGCGCGACGATACGCGCGGTGGCGAAGCAGGCATGGGTGGTTGGTAGGAGCGGGGCGGTGATCGGGTGTGTGCGCGCGGGGATGGCCCGCCCACCTCGCGTCACGCCGTGCCACCGTCCCTCGCATCCCTTCACCGGTGGCGGGGGCCGCCAACGGTGCTCGCGCGTGAATGCGCGCGTTTCGCCCACCTCGCTCTCCGAGCACCAACCATACTTTCCAACGAAACTGGCCCTAGTCTATCCTACCTACAGACTCGCCCAACGCGCACCAGCCGCTTCAGTGCCCTAGTCTAACGTAACCTTAACCTAGTCGCTGGTTCTTCATGTCGTTTGCAATCTGCTGCTGTGCTCGCCATGAGCGTGAATATCGCTATACTCGCTAATGAGCGGGCTAACGATTGCAGGTAGTTTTCGTAATATTGAACCAACTGAGTGCGAGGAATCAATGAGTATCGGGAGTAAATGCAAGGAGTGTGACAGTACACTGAAAAAGAGCGGATGATATAGGGCGCAACCTAACTAGGCGAAGACCTAGGGAAAACTAGGCTCGGAAGTGTAGCGAAAGGTGCGGGGCGACTCGGGGGTGGTTTGGGGCAAACATGAATGCCGAACCAGCTGACGCGATATTGTCGGAACTGTGTCACCGAAAGTGTGTACAATTTGGGGATGCAGTTGTACAGTTACCATTTCCAATCCAAATGCAAATATTTAGTTAATAAACCTACACAAAATGATTGTGCTGCAATAGTGCACAATGGATATATGATAAAAATAAACCATTTGCTATCCAGTCATTCTCAAACCACACAATGAAATCATCACAATCCGTAAAACGGATCAACCCTAAACTTTCAAGCAATTTTCAATTACAAAAAAAAAATACTCAAGCAACCACATGGCGATGGGGTTAGATGATGAGATACCGTCATACCTCGGATATACCCCTATGGGAGGCAATAAAAAAACAGGTTTTTTTAGGGGGGTGGGCTTATAATCGAGTAAATTTATAAGTGCCGGCGTTTATCAAATGACATACATGTTTTTTTTTTATATTTTTTTAACACCAAACTGTAGATCTTGTGCTTGTCTTTTCAATCGAATCGAAATTACATGGGGTCGTCAGTGAAATTCTCGCGCGCGCAAGGAGAACCACCCAATCTGACTCACATCCAGCTCCTGACAGTGTTGACTGGACCCGCATCTAGTGCAGGGTCCGAATGTGAAGGGAACCGAATCTGCAACACATCCGCCTGCTAAAGTACAAATCGTTACAGCGTTTTGAACACATTTCAGAAGTTAAAGTTTACGTGCGCTTATAATAAAACAAGTTTTTTCAGGGGGTGCGCTTATAATCGAGTAGGGGACATAAGCGCCACACGCCAATTAAAAGCGTCAGGCGCTTATCCAAGGGTGGCGGTTATATCCAGGGTATGACGGTAATGGGGTGATGGATGGTGTGATGAGATGATGGTGTGATGTTATACGTAATGGTGTGACAGGATAATGATGCGATGGGACAATGAGATCATGGTGTCATGGGGTGATGAGGAGACGAGATGAAGGGAGTGCATTTTCCACATCAAAAGCGTGGACACAACACAAGAGACAATGAAGTGCCAATGGCAGTGATGGCAAGCCATGCGACAAATGTGAGCACATGCCGTCCAAGGCACGACTAACCTCATTGTGGAGATGAGTGATCGGTGAGGGGAGTGTGAGCGCATAGATGGCAGGGGATGGATGGATGGATGCTGCTGGCTGGACCATGCACACCTGGTGGGTGATTGGGGGGAAGGATGGCCAAAGAGAGGTCGAGAGAGAAAGAGAGAGAAGTAAGGTAGATGCAGGATACGCATATTAAACGCTGTTGGCTGGACTGTGCTCATGTGGACAGGTGGGGATTGCAATGGGGAAGGGGATGGGGGAGGGGAAGGAGATGTGGATGCAAAATTGTAAGGTGAAGGGGATGGGGGGACGATGGTGGTGTGTGAAGGTTGCACTCTGCACACCTGATTGACATGAGACTGACCTGAGACTGACTTTAAACTGACCTGAGACTGACCTGAAACTGACCTGAGACTGACATGAAACCGTCCTGAGACTGACTTGATACTGATCTGAAACTGACCTGAAACTGACCTGAGAGTAACTAGAAACTGACCTGAAACTGACCTGAGACTGACATGAAACTGACCTGAGACTGACTTGGAATTGACCTGAAGCTGACCTGAGAATAATTTGAAACTGACCTGAGACAAACATGAAACTGTCCTGAGACTGACTTGAAACTGACCTAAAACTGACCTTAGAATAACTTGAAACTGAACTGACCTGAAACTGACCTGAGACTGACATATGCTCTATAGCCTCCGCCAGCCCCAGCAGCAGCAGCCCCGCGGTGAATTCAGCAGCCCCGCACGTCTCACACCACTCCGCCATGCCAACAGCTCTCAGGTTGCATGCGAGCAGTGCGCCCGTGCCGACGGGAGTCGGTGAATCCGTGCGTGGGTGTAGGGGAAGCAGGTGCGGAGCTGGAAAGACGGGGGAGGGGAGAGGAACAGTGTGATACTTGAATCACTTTGGAAGAATCTCAAGAAATTACAAAAGCAAGGGGAGGGGGTTGTGGGGGGGGGAGGGAGTTGGAAGAGGGAGGGAACAGCGGAGGAGGGAAGGGAGCAGCAGCATGGTGGGAAGGATAGCATGAAGGCTCAGGCAAGAGGACGACAACTGATAAGATTCTATGGACAACTCACAATCCACGATGGTTCCCGGCAGGCAGGAGTCACATGGCAGACAGGCATGCACGCACGCATGCAAGGGACAAGTGGAATTGAAGGAAACGCAAGTGCGCAGCTGGGTGGACAATCGTTACATTTTCCGCAGCATCGCTGGCGGTGGTGCGGAGGCGGATGCAAAGCATCATTTTGGCGAGGCGTCATCTCGGCGAGGTGATGCCCACACTCGCACACCACAGGCTCAACCAATTGGACTGCGTGCGATGCGATTGTAGGGGACGAGTCGCGAGACCAGCCATGGCAGACCCTAACGTTGGGATTGGAAGTGACTTTTCAGTCGACTCACAACGAGGTGACTTTTGAGTCGACTCAAAAGTCACCTCGTAACGATTGTAGGAGATGAGTCGCGAGACCAGCCATGGCAGAGCCTAACGTTGGGATTGGAAACTGGGGTCTGGAGAGGGGAAAGGGAGGGGGAACGAGAAGTGAAACAGGAAGGAGAGGGAGCAAAGTTATGTTGCCCATCCACACCGATTGCCCATCCACACCCACTGCCCATCCATACCCACTGCACTGCCTACTCCTGTTTGAGAACATTTCCAAGCTTCTCTCACCTGCCGAGCTCCACGGCTCTGTTGTCGACAGTGGTGTGTCAGCAGTGGCTTGAGTTGAGTGCATTCATGCTGTGCTTGGTGCTGCCATCATCTTAAGGGATGGGCTGACCAGAATTCGACAGGATGGGGAGGGAAGGCAAAGACGTTGAAGAGGAATTTCAAAGGGAGGTTGTTAGGGTTTTGAGGAGGTTATAAAGATGTTTCAAGGAGGTTCAAAGGGAGTTTCACTGAGGTTAAGAGAAGGTTGGAAAAAGGCTGAGTTCATCACAACAAACAATTTAAACCACCCGAATCGACCCATACATGCAAGAGAGAGTCGTGATGTGAGTACAATGTGTTTATGTGAAACCCGGCTGAGTAGGATCATGAGTTGACCAGAATCTAATATGTGCAGGGGTGGGCACAAGAGCGAAGAGCTCTAGGAGCAAGGGCTCGCCCCTGCCCTCCTTCTCTCATTTTTCCACAAGTGCTCTGCGCTAGCAGCATTAGGAAGGTTTCAGGAAGGTTATAAACAAAGATTACAAGGAAGATAAAAACAAATATGCACCAACCAAATCAGCTCATGCATGAAACGTGAAGCAAAAAATGCCAGAAATTACGTGCCCCCGCCGTCCCCCTCTCCCCCTTCCCCACCCCCTCTTTCTCCCCCTGTCCTTCTTCCTTCTCTCACCGCGACACGAAGAATGGCCTGATAACGACTTCCACAGCCCCCCATGTGGGCAAGGGGAAGCCGTCCTGTACCGGGGATGCTCCTACCACGGACAGAGGGTTTAGAGGTAGCACATTAGGAATTGGGGGTGAGGAGCAAAGCGCAGGGGCGCAGGTTGAGGGGCACAGGGGGGGGTAGAGGGGGGTTGGGGGGGGAGGGGGAGGGTGGAAGAGAGGGGTGTTGAGAGGGGGAAGGGGAAGGGTCAGGCGAAGGTGCTAGGGGAGGGCAGGGAGAAGGGGTAGGGGGGAGGGACGCATGTTGAGGGGGAGGGAGGCGGGGCAATGGGAAATAGGCACTAGGAAGGGGAGAGGTTGGGATAAGGGGGGTACAGGGGGGAGGCGAAATGAGAAAGGGCATGTGGGAGGGACAGGGGGAGGGGCAGATGCGAGGGGCAAAGGGAAAGGGTAACGGGAGAAGGTGCAAGCGGAAAGGGACGAAGGGGAGGGGCAAAGGTGAGGGGCAATGGGAAGGGGCAACGGGGATGGGCAGAGGGAAAGGGGCAAGCGGAGAGGTCGTACCTAGCTCCATGATGAGCGGCGTAACGAGCGGCATGGCCATGCCCACTACACACAGGTCCAGGAACACGACGACCAATATCACCACGCCACGTGGCACGCCCTTCTCTGCACTTGCAGCTAGTGGTAGCCCCTCCCTTCCCCCCTCCTCTCCCGTTACAATCTCCTGCCCGTCTCCGTCCGGATTACTGCTCGTCCCGTCATTATCTCCAGTCATCGCTATATGGATGCCTAATTGTATGCTTTCTACCGATTGTATGCTCCTGCCTAAAGCGATTTGCTTGTGTAGCTCTGATACTCTCAAGCTTCGAGGGGAAGCCATTGCTATCCCTAATGGCTGACACGAAGGGAAACAGTGAACAACTTGAGATTGGAATGACACGCACACACAAATGACACTGATTGCAATGAACAGCACAACATAACATGAACGATCAGGGGTAGGAAGACTGGCAAGTCAGCAGGTGTCTGCTGATGCCTTGCCAGCATTCCTGCCCCTGATGCTTTCACCTATTCTAGTTACTCCCCACGAATCTAAGCAAATCTAATCCAGACCTACACAAAGGCGGCTGAGAAGCCCTCAGGACAATCACAACCACAACAGCAGCAACCTGCATGCGCTTGTTCACCATGAGCCTAGCTCACGCCACAAGCATCCTCGCGGCACTGATGCAACAAGCAACAACGTTTTCAGCCTGCATCAGCCTGGGTTGGGTTTACACCCCTCAACGCTGTCACCCAGCCATGGATTAATCAAACAACGGCAGCGGCAGCAGCACGGCAGTGGAGCATTAACTCAAACAGCAGCAGCGGGCATCTTGCCGCCCATGAGCTGCCCGCCCCACGTCACACCTGCTGCGGTGTTGCCAGCCAGCACAGCATACCCGCTCACCGTGCTGTTCACTCCGCCATCGCCACCTGGAAAGCCACCTGAGAAACCACCTGCAGGCGGCTGCTGCGCTCCCCCCTGCTGCTGCTGCTGCCCCCGCTGCTTCTGTCCCCCCTGCTTCTGCCCCCCCTGCCTGGCAGCGCGGCCGAATGCGCGCATCAGCAGCTCCCGCCCCATGCGCCTCCCGCCCTGCCCGTTCCGCGCGCCCCCCGCGCTGCCTCCGCCAGCGTTGCCTGCGCCATTGCGCCCGCCGCCGCTGGTGGGCGGAGGCGAGGCGGAGGGGAGCGCGGCGAGCAGCGCGTCGAGGGTGGCGGCGTCCGCGTTCTCCACCAACGCGTCGAGGCGCGCCTCCGCGTGCAGCAGCCACCACCCCGCGCGCTGCTGCCAGTCCGCCGCGGCGAGTGGCAGCGCGAGGACGGCCGTCGCGGCGGCGTCGCACACGGCGCCCTTCATGATCGTGAGCAAGTCGGGCGGACTGCTCGCCGCGTCCACCAGGAGCGCCTCGACGAGCAGATTGTAATTGCCGGTGGCGTTCCTGAGAGAGGGGAGAGGAGGGTGGGAGGGGAGGGGAAGAGAGGGGGAGGGGTGGGAGGGCAGGGGAATAGTGGAAGACGCAATGAGGTCGATGATCAGAAGCAGCTGAGAAGCTCGCGGGCATTCTACCACGGGTAGATGAGGGATGCGCGCATAAGCGAGTGCTAGTAACTTCGATCATCGACCGGAAACGGAATAAAGGAAAGCGCACAGTGGATTAGGGTTTGCTTCCGATGTGAAACGACAAAGTTGAAGGCAGCGAGCCCTACTTGAAGACGGCGAGGTGGAATCGGCCGTCGAGGATCGTCTGATCCGCGGTGCAGTTGGCGAGCCGCGCGCCGACATTGGCCGTCAAATTCCCGACGGCCGTCAGATTTAGCGAAGGCCCGTGTGGTCCGCCGGGCCCGCCAGGCCCTCTGGGACCGTTGGGACCTCCGGGACCGCCAGAACCAGCGGAACCGGCGGAACCGGCGCCAGGGCCTCCGCGCTGACCGCCAGGAGGACCTCCGCCAGGCGGACCACGCTGCGCCAAGGCAGACGTCGACACGAGGAGGAGGACGCACAAGAGGACGAGCGCTCTGACTGCCATGGTTGGTGTTGTGCTGCGATGGATGCAGCGTCGAGAGATGGTCTTCTGCTGTACAGGCTGTCGCTCTGGTTTAGAGCACTTTGGGTGAAGTCGGTGAAATAGAAGCTGTCGGTGAGTGTTAAGAATGTTAGGAAAATCAATGGCTACTTATAGGCAAGTATTCCGTAGGTTGAGAGACCCGAGTCAAATCCTGGCATGGGAAACCCCAGAAACTGCAGCAGCAAACGAACGCGTTGAAAATGTGCGACGCCTTTCATTTCAATGCTTCAGTCAGCACTAATGGAAGGTCAGCCAGGCAGATAGATCGATTTTGGTCGGTGTAGTACTGACGCAGTGATTCTTTTAGAATGAAGGTTACTATACATTGCAATACTATGATAAGCTACCATCCCTGGATGACTTAAAGAATGCATCGAGGGGGTACCAATGTTGTGCGGTTTTACTTGTTAAGTGCATACCGTATTTATCGAACTAGCTTAATAGATAAACACGTGTGAAACGAGCTTGGGCCTTGTTACGTGTGCAATTGAGTGAACGAACGAGAATTGCACTATCGAAGCAAAAGTACAATAAGCGAAGGCATGAAGGATTATATAGCGAAACAATAGTGGTAACGGTAATGGACTGTGGTTGTCGCGCGTCGAGCCTGAGACTGAGGTTGGGAAAATGTCGAAGCGTAGGCCCGGAGCGCGGGTTACCAACCGAGCCGTGAGGTCGGGATGCGATGTGCGAAAAAGGCGGGATGATGAATGATGCGATGGTCGCGAGTGGTAACGGTGCTGACTGAGGTGCTACAGTGACGTACGCGCTGGGCAGGGACGCGAAGTAAGGAAAAGGGATTTTCCTTACAGGCCTACAAGGTGCCCCATTTGTTCCAAGTTCAGAGTGGCTTTGTTTAAGTTCATAACCCAGTGACCTAAGTAGTAGTACATTAGGCAGCATATCTATTGTCCATCTGACCTAGTTGCCATATCCCTGTAGTAGGTTTCCATCAGACAGAAAGAGTGCTGACCTATGTCCCACTGTTGTGTACTCAATGGTCTCCTCACTATTCTGTTACACGTTCGACCGTACCATCATGCATTGACCGTTTGTCTCACACATCAACCAACTGCTTCACGACCGCATGTTTCCGTCTCTTGTTACCAGCATCTTGGCTAGTCTTGTACGATTGATGAGATGAACAGCACTAGGCATGCGACGCATATGCCTCCAGCTGAAACTTCGCCACCCTTTGTGAACAAAGTCGATAGGAGGAAGGTGGAGAAGCGGGCTTAGGAATCGGCACATGAACAAGTGTAAGGGGGGGAGATGGGAGGGAAAGAGGGGTGGCACAGTAGGCATGAGACGACCATAACACCTGAGGGGGGCTCATGAGGTTATATCCTCAAGCTGTTGCTCGTGCCTCGGGCAGGGAAGGGAGTTGGGCACACGAGGGGGCAGGACAGACAGTGACCTGCCGAAGCTGTTTCACACCAACCAATCCAGCGAGAGCCCAGAGCCAATGCAAGTGCATGGTGGGGAGACGATGGGATGATGGGCGATGGGGTAAAGGGGTGACCGGGTGGTGGGATCATGGGGTAATGGGATGACGGGGCGGTGGAATCAAGGGGCAGTGAGATAAAGGGACTGTCTTCTCCGCATTGAACGGGTGGACACACGAGACAATGGGGTGCCAATGGCAGTGGTGTCCCACCAGGTGATGTTTAGAGTCGACTCAAATCAGGGTGGACACAAGAGGCAATGAGGTGCCAATGACAGTGGGTAGCGCACCAGGTGACAAATGAGAGCGCAGGCCTGATTCGGTAGAGGTAAGTTTGATAAGGCACTTCTGACCCCGGTGCAGAGATGAGTTATCGCTGATCCGTGGGTGAGCGTGGAGACGGCAGGGGATGGATGCTATTGGCCTGACCATGCACACCTGTTGGGTGGTTGAAGAAGGGTGGCAAGAGAGTGAGGCGGGTGCAAGATAAGGGGATTGGAGCAGTGCGATGGCCGCATCGGTTCAGTTTGAACCTCAGTTTTGACTGAATTCGATTGAACTGGTTGAATTTGACAAACGGACCGGTCGACCCAGTTGGGGTACTTGCTCAACCCTACCCCAGACCCATCAGAGACTAACCTGAGACTGACCCGAGACTGACCTGAGACTGACCCGAGACTGACCTGAGACTGACCCGAGACTCACCTGAGACTGTCCTGAGACTGACCAGAGACTGACCTGAGACTGACCTGAGACTGACCTGAGACTGACCTGAGACTGACCTGAGACCGACCTGCTACTAACCTGCTGCTAACCGCAGGTTGCCAGTCAGTGCGCCCACGCTGTAGGGGAGAGGGAGGCCAAGGGGAGGGATAGTGCCTTGGTAGTGAGTGCGCCCCCGCCCTGGGAGCAAGCGTCCGTGGCATGGCAGCACACTGGAAGTTTCTCCGGCGGTCTCTTGTTGTCCGCTGCTGCTGCTGCAAGTTGTTGAGCTGGCAGGCAGGAGAGGCGAGGCCAGAGAGAGAAGAAGGGGGTCAGCACGAGAGAGAACTGAGTGACAGACAAATGTTGAAGCGCAGTGATAAGCGGGCGGGGCAGGAGGAGAGACAGTATGAATGAACTAGTGAATGCACAGACGAGAGGGACATGCCAAGAAACCTAAAAGCACGGAGCATAAGTCTGAGCCACCCACCTGAGTAGTGTCCATGACTTCAACTTCCCTCAGCATGTAGCTTGCTGCGTTTCAATGTCACTCAAGGTGCAGGTGAAGCAATCATTGGAAACCGCAGAAGATTAGCAGCACCAGACCTACAGCTTGACTCCAAACTTCTCCTCAAACTGCTTGTCTGAATAGTGGATGAACTGGTGCAAACACACCATTCTCCTTTTCACCTCCACGTTCACAAGCTGTTGCTCTGTAGCAGCTCTCCCCCTTAGCTCGCCACTGCCTAAAAGAGCCCCAAGTGACGCTCCACTCTTTCTTTCTTCCGTTCCCCATTCAATCCCCTCTACTCCCTCTGCTTTGTTAGACACGAAATCCAGCTCGCTCCTCTGTTTCCCAGCTTCGACTGGAACATCCTTGTCTCCAACACCCGTCCGACTGGCCATCTTGCGTGCCACAACGGCATAGCCCAACCGCACCAGTGCCACATGCCGCGGTCTGATTCGCCGATTCAAACTCAACCCAAGAAAGGGCGGGTAGGCAAGCACCTCCATTATAGAGAGCCCCATGTCCCGTTTCAGGTACTCCACCTTGTGCTTCAGGTTCGTTTTCCAGCTGCAGTGGAGAGACGACGGGTACCTAACAACCAGATCCACCACCAACCGATGGGCCCTGCATCTCTCAACACTTCGTGCTCGAAAAAAAAAACCCCCTTCGAAACAATTACCTCTATCACCTTCCCCCAGCCTTTGCCTCCCACTTCCCTCTTCTCCACTGCTCTGCAATGCTTCTTCAACTTCTCGCACAAGCTCTCTGAAAGATTCCCTCATGGCATCTTCACTAGAAATGAATAACGAAGGAAATTGTGCCACCACCCGCATAGCATTTTCTCGGCCGATCAAATCAGTCAACACCGCCATCTTGCCTTGCAGATTCTCCTTTGAAAACAGCAGAACCACAGGGTGACTCCTCACCACCCTTCCTGTTGCCTCCTCCCCCACCTTATCCACAAAGAACTGGAGCTTAGTTAAGAGAGTTTCTTTGCTGAAACTGAGGACGTTGGGGGCACGACGGAGCACAGAGCTTGCAATGGAGGGGGTGTCTGGGGGAGTGAAGGACTGGAGAATGCGGATCTTCTCTGCAATGCTGTGGGGCGAAAGACCAAGGATGGGTGGAAACTTCAGGATGAGCCTGGTTAGGTGGTTCCTGTCCTGATGTTGCTCATTTAGTCGCTGCTTCAGGAGGCCTGTGCTGGAAGTATCAGCTTCTACCTCCCTTTCAGATCCCGCCGTAAAATAGGCTGATAACGTCTCAAGCTGAGCACTCACCGTCTCTTTGTTCTGAGTCAAGATGGACGGACAACTCTCTATAATCACACCCAGCTTGCCCACAGGAACACCTGCTTTCTCCACCAGAATGTCCAGGTTCGCTGAACGTGCCTCCCTGCAGAGTAAGCGCAGTCCACGTTGGAGCACCGAGCCCAATCTGCTACGGCAAACGCCTTTAGCTAAAAGCAACTCAATCATATTCTGGATCTGTGGCAGGGAGGAGCGGAGCCAGGCTGGATTTCTCACAGTGATATGCACGATATCGGCATCAAATATGCCGTATGACTGGAGGAGATGGATACGTGGCAGCAAATCATTGGTGGGATTGGAGCGGAGGAGTTGGGGGGTGGAGGCGAGGAGGGAAGCGACAGTGGAAGGGGAGGAGATGCCGAGGTGGGAGGAGAAGAAGTGGTAGAGGGAGAGGAGGGCAGAGGGAGATACGACCCGCCGGCTGAACAACAGAGGAGGGTGCGTGGGAGGAGATGTGTCGGGTGGTGTGTCCTCCTCACACGTCTCAGCTTCTGCATCCTCCTCATCCTCCTCTTTTTCCGCCTCCTCATCGTCCCCTTCCCACCCCTCCTCCCCCTCCTCTTTCACTTTCCCCACCCCATCTTCGCCCTCCCTGCTTCTTATCCCACTCCCCCACTCCACCTCCTCGCTCACTATCTGAGGCCCGAATTTCTCCCTCAGCACTCCAGCAATCACTGCCACTGCCTCCTCCTCCTCCTTATAGCCTCCCGTCCCGTAGCTCTTCCTCTTGCCTCCCTCACTGTTACCCGCTCCATTCCCCTCTGCATTCCCAGCAGTATTCCCCGCAGCATTCCCCGCTGCATTCCCCGCTGCATTCCCCGCTGCATTCCCCGCCAATACCCTCTCAACCCTCTCATCCGCACCCCCCTTTTCTCCCCCTTCCACTTTCCTGATGCTCCTCTGTCCTCATCCCTTATCCCCCCTCTCCTCGTCCTCTGTACGCGTTTTAAGCTGCGTTTGCACTGCTATTAGAGGCCTGCTTCCAGGAAGTGATTTCGGCCCGAGGATAGCAGTCTCCGCTGATAGAATTCAAGAGTGGTTGAATAATGAGCCATGGAGGCTCTATAGTACAAGCATGCAAGCAAGAGAGGGGTGAAGAAGGAGCAAACCCTATTGGCCACTAAGTTGGCCAATGGGGGAGATGCCTTGTGGAGTAGGTAACCCCACAATGTTGCTAGGTTGTGATTGGTAGGCCTTAGGACCAAAAGTTGGCAAGTGCCAACCAAGGACCAAGACCAAACCCAACCTTGACCAACCACAAAATGTGGTTGGAGTGTACACCCAACCCCCCAAGAACATAAAGAGCTACACCATTCTAGCCTATGTATGTTGAATATAAGATACAGTTACAACATCCGCCTTGGAAGTTTTTGCGTCTGCTGGCTTGGAAGGCGCACCAGCGACGGACCATGCCGCAACGTGGAATGAGAAGGTATTTTGGGGCGCCTTGAAGCTTCGACCTGGGGTTTGGATTTGAAGAGACGCGTTTCGCGCAGGGTCGTTTTGATTCGATCCGATCCGATCGAGGCTTGGCAAGGAAGAAAGATAAGATCGCGATGCGATCCGGTGTGCTTGAGGTATCTCACAGGTAATAAATCTGGAAGTCGAACCGACAAATGGCCGCGACAAACGAGACAGGACTAGCCATAGCGACCGGCGGGCTGATCTACGCGAAACGACGTGAAAATTCATGAATTCCTTTCTGTTGCCTACGTCGAGTCTGTTGAACTCTTCGTGTATGCGTGAATCCTCGCTAACCCTAACTGGCTAGTGACGCGAAACGTGAAGTTAAATTCGTGTGTACGGATTTGATAATCGAAATCTGAAGACTAGGCGATTCCGCCAATGCAACGATGGCGCGGTGCGGACGGAAAAGCCACTACGGTTCCATGCACGGCTAGCAGAAACCGCCATCGGTGGACCCCTGAAATTGGGCTAGGCACACACTGTTCATAAATTAGGGTTGAAAGCTGTAATGGTTATCAAACAGTACAGAACTCGCTAATGACGAGAATGTGACAGAAGGCTCCTTATACTCGCGAACACTCTTGCTACGCGAAAACCTCGGAAACCAAGGTTTGGGAGAAGGCGGAATCGAAAGGTTCGGGAGCGACACGAGTCAGCTTCGGTGCTGTCACATCGCTCGAGCCTGATCCCCGTCATCCCCGTGCCAAACAAGGGTCTTCCTGAAATACCAAACCGAAGGAGTCGTCCTCCAAACCGAATTCTCCGCCTAACCACATCAATTCGGTTTGCCAGAAACATTTTTCCGGCCTAGCCTGGCGTGCCAGGCAGTACGAACTTCCCTTCGGCACGGAAAAGCTAGGTTAGCCGTGCCAGACGTACGCCCCGTGCCAGACTTCACATACCTTCTATTTTTGCGAATTCAACGGAACGCCGCTCTGTTCGGAGCTTCGCACAATGCCGTAGCGACATGAACGAAGTCGGTAACTCTTTGAATTCTGCTGTCAGCAGGCAGAACCAGATCCAGGGCAACTCGCCTCTGCGGTCTCCGAGGGCCTCCCCCCAATCACCTTGACGAGCAGCTGGTCAAGCAGAAAACTAGTATCAATCAGAGCATAGTAGACGTACCGTACATCGTAGAGGGCGCAGCTTCCCCGTGGAAAAAGGATACCCGAATCGCCTCTACGAAATTAGTACGCACGGTGTACCCATCATCTTTCGCGCATCCTGTCCTCTCGTCTCTTTTCTGACCCGCCCGTATTTTTGCCTCCTTCCCTCTCAAAATCTCTAAGCCTCGCCATCACTCAGGACGCACCGCAGATCGACTTACTCCGCGCCGCTGATGAGTCGCTTCGAGGGCCGCGGAAGATTGTCTTTAGGAAACTCTAATTTAAGGTAAGCATCCCTATCGTTTCCTCAATCGGGCCTCCGCATTGCAAGCCTTGCAAGCCTGAGCCCGAGGCTCACATCTTACGAATCATGGTGCTCGTAGTTGTGTCAGAGCCCGGCATCTGCAGCTTTAAGTTACAACTTTTGCAGAGCCCCTTTGCGCATTGACCCCGGCCCCTTGCTGTGCTGTGTTTCCTCGCCCTGGTTCATCGAGACCCTCACACTGTCACTTACTCAGGCAATGGCCGTCCAAGCCTGATTGTCACCAACCGCGTTGTTAGCTTGGGCCCTTTCCGTGCTGCTATTTTTTCGTTAACCTCAGTCACCATGCTGTCACTGACTTGGGCTCTGATTGACCTAGGCTTTGATTGGCCTAGGCTCCGATTGACTTTGGCTCCGATTGAGCTAGGCTCTTTTTGACCTAAACTCCGAGTGATCTAGGCTCTTATTGACCTAGGCTCCGTTTGAGCTAGGCTCTTATTGACCTAGGCTCCGATTGAGCTTGGCTCTTTTTGACCTAGGCTCCAATTGAGCTAGGCTCTTATTGACCTAAACTCCGATTGAGCTAGGCTCTTATCGACCTGGGCTCCGATTGAGCTAGGCTCTTTTTGACCTAAACTCCGATTGCTAGGCTCTTATTGACCTAGGCTCTGATTGACCTAGGCTCTTATTGACCTAGGCTCTTATTGACTTAGGCTCTGATTGACCTAGGCTCTGAATGACCTAGGCTTTGTCGTAGGCACTTATTGTTTCCCCGGCCCTTTTCCGTTCTGTGCTTTCTCACACTGTTTCATACACTCACGTTGCCACTCACCCAGGCTTTGACCAACCTAGCCTGTGACTCACCTCAGCTTGTTGTGACCAACCTAGGCGGTGAGTGACAAAGCATGTGACTGATATTGCTGTAACTGACTGAACATGTCAGACCTAGTTTGTGAATGACCTATGCAAGTGCGCAGACCGAGTCGATTGGACTCGAGTCGAGTCGGCCCTAACTCGAGGCAACTCAAGAGTCGAGGTTGACTTGACCTGGTAATGTGGCTTTTCAGTCACATAAAATGTGTGCTTGTAGGTCGATTTGGCTGGTGGTTTAAACACTATGGAGGCATTTATGCTACAGTCATGAATTACTATGAGCTGAAACGAATTTCTTGGTGGTGCTAAAATACTAGGAACAGCCTAAAACTAATTGTAGGTGCTAGAACGACCTAAAGCTGATTATTACCTGTGGCGATTGTAGCCTATTGACTGACCTTACTTGTGTCGGGCCTACCTTTTGCTTGACCTAGCCTGTGAATGTCAAAGGCTGTGAGTGTCGTAGGCTGCGAGTGTCGTAGCCATTGCCTCTGACTTAACATAGCCTGTCTGTGGGGAGCAAGTTTCTGATTGGTCTTTATTTAGTCTGAAATAATCAGTGAGTAACCTAATCAATGAGTGACCTAGTCAGTGAGTGACCTAGCCAAACAGCCCTTTAGCTCACTCGTGCTATGGCATTCACTGTCTCCCTTGCCCTCTACTTTCAGATCCCCTAGTTGCGTGCTCTCTCCGGCTTTCCTCGCCTACCTAACTGCGTTACGGAGAAGAGCTTGCAGAGCCAGAAATGCATGTTCTATGCCATTCAGGCTGAGCTGAGCTCGTCGCTTTGTGCTCATTGCTGCTCCGCATCCTCTTGCAGCATCCCATCTTGCCCCTTTCCTCCTCTCGGGTTCCCCTCTCTCTGGCCTATTCCTGTTGGTTCTACTGCCTCGTTTTCCAACCCTCACCCCACCTACGTGTATTGATGTCATGGTGTGGTGGGAGTATCGATACTTGTGAACACACTTATCACACACTTGTTTTGAAAGTTCTCAAAACAACTACGGTTTCCTCCCCTCCTTTTCCTTGCACTACAAGTGCATTTACAGGAATAACATTTTTCTTTACCACCGTTGTTCCTGAGACTTTGCTGCTCTGCTCGTTCAACTCACTTCATATTTCTGATGCCACACTACCTGCGTACCATTCCGCCTCTATGCACCTCTCCAACCTGGTCTGGTCATCTTCTCTCTTGCCTGTCTTCTCAGGCTCCCCTCAATGGTCCGCTTGTTGTTCTGCTTCCATTTCACTCTTTCAGCATACCGCCGCTAAACACGAGCATCAGTCATTGAAGATATGGCTGCTGAAAGGGTGATGGGTACACTGATTTATGTGGTCAAAGAGGCGGTGCTGGTAGCAGTGAGAGAGGAGCTGGCTGCACACAAGGAGGTGGAAGAGTTGCGGCAGCTGTTGACTGCTGTGGAGGAGAGGAACGAGGTGATTGCTGCTGCGGTGGAAGAGTGGGAGAGGGAGCTGGCTGCAATGAAGCGGGAGCTGGCAGCGGTGAAGGTGGAGTTGGGAAAACACGAGCAATGGGCTGAGAGTGCTAGGCCATTGACCGTACGAGGGATGGGAGGGAAGAGTAAAAAGAGAAGGCAAGAAATGCCTGCGGGGTTTACATGGGAGGAGGGGAGGAGGGGGGAGCAGGAGTTGAATCGGCCACATGCCATGGAGGTGATGGCCGCTTGTAAAAAAATGCGGAGGACACGAGATCTGAAGTTGAACGTTGAGGTGAAGAAAATCTGGCGGAGTAAAGGCGGAGTAAAGGCGGAGTAAAGGCGGAGTAAAGGCGGAGTAAAGGCGGAGTAAAGGCGACCAGAAGTCTGCATGGGAGGTAAGTGCTGGCTGGGTGATTTGTTTGGCAGGGCGTGCATTGCTTGCTAGTTCTTTCTTGTCACTGTGATGTGATGTGATGTGATGTGATGTGATCATCCCTTCCCTTGCCATGTTCTCCTTATCTCCCTCCACCCATCCATCTACTCCAGCGAATCAAGTCAGCATTACAGAATCCCAAGCTGGACCTCATGAATCTCCACGCCCTCTCAGACGCCATGCTCGGCCATGTGTCTACCATGACACATCTGACGAGCATCAACTTGTGCTCTACCTCAGGCTTCAGTGCAGAGGGCATCAAGCACCTCTACAGGCTGCCTCAGCTGGAGAAGCTATGCCTCACAGACACAGATGTCTCAGACAATGCCTTGGAAGGCATTGGGTGCTTGACCATTCTTGAAATCCTCTATCTTGATCGGACCAACGTGACCAATGCTGGTCTCCCGCACTTGACAGGTCTTTCCTCTCTCAAAGAGCTGGACCTTTCCAGATGCAAGGGTGTGACTGCTACTGGCATGGAGCAAGTGGGAAGGTTGACCGGGCTTGAGAAACTTTGGCTACATGAGACGGTCACAGATGCTGGTCTGCCGCACTTGACTGGCCTGTCCTCTCTCAAAGAGCTGGACCTTTCCAAAAACCAAGGTGTAAGTGATGCTGGCATGGTGCATGTGGGAAGGCTGACTGGGCTTGAAGGTCTTTGGCTGACTGAGACGGCTGTCACAGATACTGGGCTACAGCAACTGGCAGGCCTATCCTCTCTTATTTTCTGAACCTTACCCAATGCGATGTTGTGAGTGCTGATGGCATGGTGGAGGTGGGAAAGTTGTTGGGGCTTGAGGAGCTTGTGCTGGATGGAACGGCAGACACAGATGCAGGGCTGTGGCAATTAACGGGTCTGACCTCTCTCAAACTGCTCAGCGATTCTAAATGCACGGGTGTGGCAAACGCTTGCATGGTGAATGTGGAGAGGCTGACAGGACTTGAGAAACTCGTGCTGGATGGAACGGCAGTTACAGATGCTGGGCTGCAGCACCTGACAGCTCTATCCTCCCTCAAACTGCTGTACCTTTCCGAATGCGAGGGTGTGAAGAATGCTGGCATGGTGCATGTGGGAAGGCGGACAGCGCTTGAGAGGCTTGATCTGGAAGAGACGGCAGTTACAGATGATGGGCTGCAGCAATTGATGGCTCTATCCTCTCTCAAGGAGCTAAGCTTTTCTAAATGCGATGGTATGACCGCTGCTGGCATGGTTGAAGTGGGAAGGCTGACAGGGCTTGAGGAGCTTTGGCTACAAGAGACGGCTGTCACAGATGATGCGCTGCAGCAGCTGACGGGTCTCTCCTCTCTCAAGGTGCTAAGCATTTCCAACGGCAAGGGTGTGACAAGTGCTGGCATGGTGCATGTGGTGAGGCTGACAGGCCTTGAGAGGCTTGATTTGGATTACACGGCCGTTACGAATGATGGGCTGCAGCAGCTGACTACCCTGACCAAGCTGGGAACCCTCTGGACCCCAGAAGGGGGTGAACTAAAGAATGATGCTGTGCGCAGGTGGATATGCGTGTAGGGAGTGATGACGGAAAGGGAGGTGAGGTGAGAGAATCTACTGTGACTGCCTAGGGGAGACTGAGGAGAGGAGTGGATGCAACGGATGTGAAGAATGAGGGGAGGCATGCATGTGGAGGGGTGAGGCATGGAATGATGGTTGTGCACGGCTCAACTTGCATGCTGCAGAGAGATGAGTTGGAGAATGGTTGTGTGGAACTGGTGCCTTGCAGTTGGGCAGAAGCAGGAGCAGGGCTGGTTGGGCCAGAGACCCTATGTGTGTGAAAGGAGGTGCTTAGGAATGCTTGCCTGGCATTTCGTATGATGGAAGGCCAGCGGTCAGAAGCAGGTCGGACGGGGAAGGGGAAGGGGAGGGGAGAGGCATGCAAGAGAGCAGCAGCAGCGGCAGCAGTGGCTGCAGCAGTGGCAACAGCCGCGGTAGCAGCGTAGGCTAGGGAAGGAATGGAGTGAGTGGAGGTGTGTGCAAGTGGGCTGAGTCAGTTTCTGTGCACAGCAGAAGGGTACCATTCCCTTGTGTGAACATATGCCCTGACATCATACTGAAACGTGCTATTCTACGGTATACAACCACGTAGACGATGCCTACTGATGGGGATGATGGAGAGCTGTTGCATGCGGGGTAAGCTCCGACTCCTCTCGCTGCCCTGATGTTCGGAAAAAGCTAGATTACTCCCTGCTTGAGTCTTCTGCCATTTAGAAAAGTTATTCATCATACTGTATACAAGCTTCCACCACATTGGTTTGCATTAAAACACAGGCATGTACGCATGCACTCTCGTTATGTGTTGCAAACAATTCACCCTCTTCTGAGGTTACCGTATGTCTCTCCACAGCTCTCCCCAATGTGCTGATGTGCTTCAGAAAGCATTGCTCATGTACTGGATGGCACCTGAATCTCGACAGCTATGGACAGAAGCTGCCACAACTGCAACCTCCTTACTGCAGCCCCACACTCCAACCACTAAATGCACCCCCCATGGCCTGTTACTATGCACCCCCCCCAACTGTATCCCTCTGTGCTTGAGAGGATTCTGCTGCGAGTGAGTGATGGGCAGGCATGGGTGCATGAGAGGGAAAGGACCGAGGGAAGCCAAGTGATTTAGAAACGACAGCGGAGATGTTTGTGTAGTATGGGGGATGTGATGAGATGTGAGATGAGGTGAGGGGGAAGGCATGGGGTGGTGTATTGCACACTGATAACATGTACGTACAGTATCTCTGCGTGTACTTGTCTACTCTTTGAGGTGCCTAGAATAACCTGCCGCACTCAGAGCTCCACTGACGTCTGAGCTGCAAAAATATCTCTGCACTCTCCCTGCAAGTGAGACACGTGCGAGTCGATGCAGGCTGTAATGTTCCGGTGTAGATGGAATTCCCGTTGGCCTTGAACTATGGCTTCCATTCTAAGGGCGATCAACTCCTTGGATTGCCTCCAATGAAATCAGGCACGCATGAGTCGATGCAGTTGTCGAGCTAGAGAGGGACAAAGTGCGGGAAGGATTGGGGGAGAAGGGAAAAGCGGGTAAGGAATGGGGAGTGAAACTCGGACAGAAGTGTGGCATGTGCGAGTCGATACAGTTGTGCAGTCGGTGGGGGCCCAAGGAAGGGAGGGAGGAGGAGAGGGAAGGGAGGAGGGGAGACAAGACATGAAAATAAAGGGTGAGAAGACAGGAGTGCAAACAGCTGGTAGAGAAGGCCGACACTGCCCATCAACGCTCCACATATATGCTCGAATATTCTCAGCTCCAACAATGGACTCATGAGTCACAACAGGTGCACCACATCTCATCTCGCCCACACTGCCACTCCACGCCACCCCATAACCTAACCCCACCACCCGTCACCCGCCAGCCACATTTACCTGAAGCCCTGTCTGCTGCATCAAGGGAGGCCAAAAGGGTAAGGTAGAGCTGCGGCCTCCTTGACGCTGGTGGCATGGTTTTGCTTTTGAGTCGACTCAAAAGCAGACTCCTTGACGCTGGTGGCATGGCAGAAGGGCACGCCCTCCGGAAGCAGGCACTGGCTCTCGATGAGTGAGGACCCGTGGGACCTCACATTCGTGAAGGGCACGCCCTCCGGAAGCACGCACTGGCTCTCGATGAGTGAGGACCCGTGGGACCTCACATTCGTGAAGGGCACGCCCTCCGGAAGCAGGCACTGGCTCTCGATGAGTGAGGACCCGTGGGACCTCACATTCGTGAAGGGCACGCCCTCCGGAAGCAGGCACTGGCTCTCGATGAGTGAGGACCCGTGGGACCTCACATTCGTGAAGGGCACGCCCTCCGGAAGCAGGCACTGGCTCTCGATGAGTGAGGACCCGTGGGACCTCACATTCGTGAAGGGCACGCCCTCCGGAAGCAGGCACTGGCTCTCGATGAGTGAGGACCCGTGAGACCTCACATTCGTGAAGGGCACGCCCTCCGGAAGCAGGCACTGGCTCTCGATGAGTGAGGACCCGTGGGACCTCACATTCGTGAAGGGCACGCCCTCCGGAAGCAGGCACTGGCTCTCGATGCTGGACAGATCGGAGATGCATCAGGTGCATCTGATGAGCGGGGGAGGGGAGGCACACGGATGCTATGCAACGAGAAGGGAAGCGGGAGGGTACGGGGACGGAAAGGGGAGGGAAAGGGGAGGGTATGGGAGGGGAACGGGAGGGGAAGGGGAGGGAAAGGGAATGGGAAATGGGGGAGAAGGGGAAGGAAGAAGAGGGGAAGGGGAGGGGAAGTGGAGAGAAATGAGAGGGGAGGGGGAGGAGAAGCGGAGGGAAAGGGGAGGGAAATGGGAGGGGAATGGCAGAGGAAGAGGAGGGGAAGGGGAGGGAAAGGAGACATCAAGTAGAGGGAAAGGAGAGAGGAAGAGGAGGGAGCAGGGATGGGGAATGAGGGGAATTGTTGTTGGCTGTTGTATTAAGTGAAGGCACGTCCCACTAACCCATTCATGGTTGCGATAATGCCAGCACAATTCCCATGCAAAAACCATGCATGGCAAACCATGTACACGAATCACATACCATGAACGCATCACACCATGCACACTCCATTCCATGCACATGCACGCATCGCGCTCACCCATTCACCCATCCACCCATGTCCATGCGCACATGGCATCCAGCCATCAACCCATCCACCCACCCTGTTCACCATGCATGCGGCTGCGCGGGATCTTGGCGTCACTTGGCACCTCTGCTGCCTCCTTGCCTCGCCTCAGCTGATCTTCCTTCTTCAACGCCTCCGCCAGGTCGTGCCACATGCCCACCAACACACTGTCCGCCGCACCAGTGGGCAGGAGCTGTTTTAAAGAGGGGGAGAAACGAGGGGGGGTGGGAAGGATGCGCAGGGGAAGGGAAGGCGTACGAAAGCAGGGCAGCAAGGGACGCAGGCATGAGCACACGAACATACTGTCTGCTGGGTGTGAGAGGGAGGAGGACGGGAGGGAGGAGGCTCAGAAAGCAGGCAAGGACAGCAATGGAGGCAGGCAGGTCTGGGTCACAAACAAGCTGTCAGCTCCGACGCACATTAGCAAGTGTGAATGAGGCGAACAGACAGGAAAGGCAAGAGGGAGGAGGGGCAATGGGAAGGAACAACAACGCATGGCAGCAACGTTGTCAACACAAAGGACATGTCACATGCAGCCCACATAGTGAACACCCACGATGCCGACAGGGTAATGCACCTGTGGAGGCAAAGGCGGGCCCGGCCCTGGCCAGCCTGGGATGGGCTGGCCGCAATCAAAGGCAGGGCGGGTCCCGGCCCTGGCCAGCCTGGGATGGGCTGGCCGCAATCAAAGGCAGGGCGGGTCCCGGCCCTGGCCAGCCTGGGATGGGCTGGCCGTAATCAAAGGCAGGGCGGGTCCCGGCCCTGGCCAGCCTGGGATGGGCTGGCCGCAATCAAAGGCAGGGCGGGTCCCGGCCCTGGCCAGCCTGGGATGGGCTGGCCGCAATCAAAGGCAGGGCGGGTCCCGGCCCTGGCCAGCCTGGGATGGGCTGGCCGTAATCAAAGGCAGGGCGGGTCCCGGCCCTGGCCAGCCTGGGATGGGCTGGCCGCAATCAAAGGCAGGGCGGGTCCCGGCCCTGGCCAGCCTGGGATGGGCTGGCCGCAATCAAAGGCAGGGCGGGTCCCGGCCCTGGCCAGCCTGGGATGGGCTGGCCGCAATCAAAGGCAGGGCGGGTCCCGGCCCTGGCCAGCCTGGGATGGGCTGGCCGCAATCAAAGGCAGGGCGGGTCCCGGCCCTGGCCAGCCTGGGATGGGCTGGCCGCAATCAAAGGCAGGGCGGGTCCCGGCCCTGGCCAGCCTGGGATGGGCTGGCCGCAATCAAAGGCAGGGCGGGTCCCGGCCCTGGCCAGCCTGGGATGGGCTGGCCGCAATCAAAGGCAGGGCGGGTCCCGGCCCTGGCCAGCCTGGGATGGGCTGGCCGCAATCAAAGGCAGGGCGGGTCCCGGCCCTGGCCAGCCTGGGATGGGCTGGCCGTTAGGGATGAGCAAATGGCGAACACGAACATGTTCGTGTTCGCCTGGGCTCGAGCATGGCTGTTCAGCGAACCGAACACTGTTTGGTTCGCCGAACACTTAACACCAGAAAGGGTGTTCGAAGTTCGCCAAGAGAGGCGAACATTTCGTACGTTTTGGCGAACACGAACACGTTCGCCCAGAACATGTTCGCGTTCGCCTTAAAGGACCTTCTCAGATCCAAGTAGAGTGAAATCCAAATGTTTCACATTCCCTCCTCCCACCCCGCAAGCCAGTCCCGCCCTGCTAGAACCGCCCATGCTAGATCTACGCTTAAGCAACGGCGAAATGCTAGATCTACGCTTAAGCAACGGCGAAATGCTAGATCTGAGCTTAAACAAAGGCGAAATGCTAGATCTGAGCTTAAGCAACGGCGAAATGCTTGATCCGCACTTAAGCAACAGCGAATGCTAAATCTACGCTTAAGCAACGGCGAAATGCTAGATCTACGCTTAAGCAACGGCGAAATGCTAGATCTACGCTTAAGCAAAGGCGGAATGCTAGATCTGAGCTTAAGCAACGGCGAAATGCCTTGATCCGCACTTAAGCAACGGCAAAAGGCCTTGATCCGCACTTAAGCAACGGCAAAAGGCCTTGATCTGAGCCCAAACACCAAGGCCCGCGCCCTAAAAATTGGTCGCGGGCCTATTCGTCGACGAACACATTGGCGTTCGTCGAAGGCCCGTGTCGATCACGAACACGTTCGTGTTCGTCGCGCCTCGGCCAGCTGAGCCGGGCGAACAGCGAACGTGTTCGGGCGAACACCGAACACGTTCGCCCCGAACAATTTAGGCCAAAAAAAAAATCTTGTTCGGTTCGCCTCGAACACGTTCGAGGCGAACCGAACAGGTGTTCGTCATATTGCTCATCCCTACTGGCCGTAATCAAAGGCAGGGCGGGTCCCGGCCCTGGCCAGCCTGGGATGGGCTGGCCGCAATCAAAGGCAGGGCGGGTCCCGGCCCTGGCCAGCCTGGGATGGGCTGGCCGTAATCAAAGGCAGGGCGGGTCCCGGCCCTGGCCAGCCTGGGATGGGCTGGCCGCAATCAAAGGCAGGGCGGGTCCCGGCCCTGGCCAGCCTGGGATGGGCTGGCCGCAATCAAAGGCAGGGCGGGTCCCGGCCCTGGCCAGCCTGGGATGGGCTGGCCGCAATCAAAGGCAGGGCGGGTCCCGGCCCTGGCCAGCCTGGGATGGGCTGGCCGCAATCAAAGGCAGGGCGGGTCCCGGCCCTGGCCAGCCTGGGATGGGCTGGCCGCAATCAAAGGCAGGGCGGGTCCCGGCCCTGGCCAGCCTGGGATGGGCTGGCCGCAATCAAAGGCAGGGCGGGTCCCGGCCCTGGCCAGACTGGGATGGGCTGGCCGCAATCAAAGGCAGGGCGGGTCCCGGCCCTGGCCAGCCTGGGATGGGCTGGCCGTAATCAAAGGCAGGGCGGGTCCCGGCCCTGGCCAGCCTGGGATGGGCTGGCCGCAATCAAAGGCAGGGCGGGTCCCGGCCCTGGCCAGCCTGGGATGGGCTGGCCGCAATCAAAGGCAGGGCGGGTCCCGGCCCTGGCCAGCCTGGGATGGGCTGGCCGCAATCAAAGGCAAGGCGGGTCCCGGCCCTGGCCAGCCTGGGATGGGCTGGCCGCAATCAAAGGCAGGGCGGGTCCCGGCCCTGGCCAGCCTGGGATGGGCTGGCCGCAATCAAAGGCAGGGCGGGTCCCGGCCCTGGCCAGCCTGGGATGGGCTGGCCGCAATCAAAGGCAGGGCGGGTCCCGGCCCTGGCCAGCCTGGGATGGGCTGGCCGCAATCAAAGGCAGGGCGGTTCCCGGCCCTGGCCAGCCTGGGATGGGCTGGCCGCAATCAAAGGCAGGGCGGGTCCCGGCCCTGGCCAGCCTGGGATGGGCTGGCCGCAATCAAAGGCAGGGCGGGTCCCGGCCCTGGCCAGCCTGGGATGGGCTGGCCGCAATCAAAGGCAGGGCGGGTCCCGGCCCTGGCCAGCCTGGGATGGGCTGGCCGTAATCAAAGGCAGGGCGGGTCCCGGCCCTGGCCAGCCTGGGATGGGCTGGCCGCAATCAAAGGCAGGGCGGGTCCCGGCCCTGGCCAGCCTGGGATGGGCTGGCCGCAATCAAAGGCAGGGCGGGTCCCGGCCCTGGCCAGCCTGGGATGGGCTGGCCGCAATCAAAGGCAGGGCGGGTCCCGGCCCTGGCCAGCCTGGGATGGGCTGGCCGCAATCAAAGGCAGGGCGGGTCCCGGCCCTGGCCAGCCTGGGATGGGCTGGCCGCAATCAAAGGCAGGGCGGGTCCCGGCCCTGGCCAGCCTGGGATGGGCTGGCCGCAATCAAAGGCAGGGCGGGTCCCGGCCCTGGCCAGACTGGGATGGGCTGGCCGCAATCAAAGGCAGGGCGGGTCCCGGCCCTGGCCAGCCTGGGATGGGCTGGCCGTAATCAAAGGCAGGGCGGGTCCCGGCCCTGGCCAGCCTGGGATGGGCTGGCTGCAATCAAAGGCAGGGCGGGTCCCGGCCCTGGCCAGCCTGGGATGGGCTGGCCGCAATCAAAGGCAGGGCGGGTCCCGGCCCTGGCCAGCCTGGGATGGGCTGGCCGCAATCAAAGGCAAGGCGGGTCCCGGCCCTGGCCAGCCTGGGATGGGCTGGCCGCAATCAAAGGCAGGGCGGGTCCCGGCCCTGGCCAGCCTGGGATGGGCTGGCCGCAATCAAAGGCAGGGCGGGTCCCGGCCCTGGCCAGCCTGGGATGGGCTGGCCGCAATCAAAGGCAGGGCGGGTCCCGGCCCTGGCCAGCCTGGGATGGGCTGGCCGCAATCAAAGGCAGGGCGGGTCCCGGCCCTGGCCAGCCTGGGATGGGCTGGCCGCAATCAAAGGCAGGGCGGGTCCCGGCCCTGGCCAGCCTGGGATGGGCTGGCCGCAATCAAAGGCAGGGCGGGTCCCGGCCCTGGCCAGCCTGGGATGGGCTGGCCGCAATCAAAGGCAGGGCGGGTCCCGGCCCTGGCCAGCCTGGGATGAGCTGGCCGCAATCAAAGGCAGGGCGGGTCCCGGCCCTGGCCAGCCTGGGATGGGCTGGCCGCAATCAAAGGCAGGGCGGGTCCCGGCCCTGGCCAGCCTGGGATGGGCTGGCCGCAATCAAAGGCAGGGCGGGTCCCGGCCCTGGCCAGCCTGGGATGGGCTGGCCGCAATCAAAGGCAGGGCGGGTCCCGGCCCTGGCCAGCCTGGGATGGGCTGGCCGCAATCAAAGGCAGGGCGGGTCCCGGCCCTGGCCAGACTGGGATGGGCTGGCCGCAATCAAAGGCAGGGCGGATCCCGGCCCTGGCCAGCCTGGGATGGGCTGGCCGCAATCAAAGGCAGGGCGGGTCCCGGCCCTGGCCAGCCTGGGATGGGCTGGCCGCAATCAAAGGCAGGGCGGGTCCCAGCCTGCCCAAGCCAAGCTGACCTGCTGGGATGTCGATCCGCGGGCCGCCAGATGAGGGTGGGGCGTCTCTGCGCTGACCCCGGCCAGGGTCAGTCCTGGTAGGGCCGGTCCCCACTCGGCTCGCTGGCTCCCTACTCCTGTCCACATGCCCTCCTACTTCCGCCCACACCACCTCGCCCCTTGCCCCTCTCCGCTACCTCCTGCCCTACCTACACTACACCTATTGTCAAGCTGAAACTTGGGGGAGAGCGCAGGTGAGCCGCACCTGACGGGCCAGTTTGGAAATTGAAGCCATAGCGGAGGAGAAGGGCAAGCAGGGTGCCGTGCAGTATCGGGTGGCTCATCGCACGCTGTACTCAACGGGAGAAAGGAGAGGTAGACGAGACGAGACGGGAGGAGAGGGAGACCATAGAAAGGGAGGGTAGGAGACGAGACGGGGACAAGGGGACTATTGTTGGAGAAGTGGAATTCGGAGGGTAATGGTGCGAGTCAAAAAGAGTAGGCAGGCAGAGCGCTAAGGCAAGGGTGAACGATGAGGAGCAAGACTTATGAGAAGAGAGGCATGTGGTCGTTGGGAAATAGGCGCTTCTTACCAGAGATATCAGTAGTAGCGCTCCACAGCAGGGGCGAAAAGGATGGAGGGTGAGGACGGAGCGATGCCACAAGAGGCACGGGATACTTACGAAAGGGAATAATGGTTCACAGCATGGAAAACAAGCCAGAGAAGTCTGAAGTGATACACAGAGCTGGGGGCTTGATGGGGGCGGGGCGAGCGAGAATATGGCAGGGAAAAGGGCATGAATGAGAGGGAAGGAGGGGGGCATCACATAAGTAACGTCATGCATGCCTCGCACTCCCGTCTGTTTATTCATCTCACCATTTGCTTCTCTCAGATATTTCCATCGCAGTCCTCAACACGCCCGCTTCCAACCCATCTCGCGAGCGAGCGAGCAGCGCGCCAATGTGGGGAAAACGCGGCGCATCGAGGTTCCCGGGCTAGGCTGCACCCCAGCTCGTTGCTGCGAAGTGCCATTTGGGAAAACGCGGCGCCGGGTCAATTGCAAGTGCATGGTGTCCCAGTGGCACTGCGACGCGCCTTGAGATGATCCCATCAAGCTCCCTTCCACAGAGAGTCGCTCCCCTAGGCCTTCAGCTCTTCAATGGCATTGCTTGCGTTCCGGATCATCTCGCGCGGCGAACATTTTATCGGCACATCCTCGGAGCTGCGCTATGTCAGCCAAGGCGCGTTTCGCGGGACACTGGAACGGGCGACATCAGTTCAGATCCGCCGGTCGTCGCAGCTCTCGATACGGCGCTCAATATGGCGCTTGATCTTCTGACTGAGCATGCGGAGCGGCCCATACGGCGCACACATGCTCCCACCTGCCACCCTTTGAACGTCCTCCCCCACGCATGCTGGCATGCCTGCAGCACGGTCACTAGGGAGGGACGAAAGGCAGAGGGGGGGGTTCTGAGACTCCTGAGCAATAGAGCAGCAACGCAAAACGTTCCTTCCTTTCCCTGCCTGGCAATCGCCTCGTTACAACTTCCACGCAGCTGCTGCTGCCGAATCACTCACCTTCCGCCTCACTCCTCCCACCTGCCGGCAAGCAAAGCTCACAGCACAGCGGACATGACCAGAGAGGACCAGACCAGACCGGACCAGATCCGAGCAGAGCAGAAAAGACCTTAACGCCGGACCACCAGGCCATTACACGGCCTCACGCCAAACTCACAGCGGACGCAAGCTGGCGGAATGGCGGCGGGCGGAACAGGACGAGCTGAAGGGAAGAGCTGAAGGGAAAGGGATGGTTTACGCTCGGCGCGATTCTTTAAGAAGCAGGATTGCATCAAGGGGTGGGGGCAGGCTGCCGTTCGCCATCGCACAGTGGACAGCGGCGGACTGCAGATGCGCGCTAGTGGGACGGCGGCGGGTTCCCTCAGGAACGAAAGTAGCTCAAGGGAAATGGATGAAATACGCTTGGAGCGACTCTCTAACAGGCAGGATTGCGTTCAGATTTGGGGCAAACTGCCGTTCCCCAATCTTTAGATGATGAACGGCGTTGCGACGTGGCCAAGTGGCGGCGCGACGTGGGGAAAGGTGGCGCGACGAGGCGAACTGAAGGCGTGACATGGCGGAGTGGCGGCGTGACGTGCGAAATGGCTTCGTGACATGGCGAGGGCTTGACGTGGCGACATGGCAGCGCGAGACGGCGAAATGACGATGTGACATGACGAAATAGCGGCGTTACATGGCGAGATGGCAGAGTGACATGCGAAATGGGTGCGAGACATGGCTACGTCGAAGCGCGACGCAGCGAAATGATGGTGTGACATGGCGAAATGGCAGCGCGACATGGCGAAATGGGGGCTTGACATGCCGACATAACAGCGCGACGCGGCAAAATGACGGCGTGACATTGCGAGATGACGGCGTGACATTGCGAGATGACAGCGTGACATTGGAAAGTCGCAGCGTGGCGAAAGGAAAGCACTACACGGACCTAGGGAGGGGTACAATAGGCACACTGCAAAACACGTCAGACTGCGGCGAAACACGTCGGCAGGAAGAGCATAAGCGCGCCGAGCCGATTGCTCAGAGCACCCATCACAACGACTAATCCTGGCAGGATCGACAGTGAAGCATAGCATTTAATTTCTAGGCGCCTAAATAAAGACTGACACCGCACAGCAGATCCTACTTCTGAAGCCTCGAATGTGAAATCCACGATCGTGGGTTGATGGGTCTACTTAGCTTTCTGCTCGAAGAGCGGCTTCTGAAGGCGACCGAGGAGAGAGCGGAGGAGGCTGCTGAGGCGGGTTCGTTTGGATTGGTTGTGCCTGCTGAAAGCAAACTCATAATTCCGAGCTCGTTTTTTAGGTTGCGAAGCAACCCTTTATAATCGATTTTGCCAAATTTTATTTTTGGGTTGCGAAGCAACCCTTTATAATAGATTTTGCCAAATTTTATTTTCATATTTATATTTTTATAAATAATTAAAATAAAATTTGTAAACTACAATCGTATCCTGTCCATACTGTATGCATGTTGAGCAGTTTTAAATACAGTACTATTATCAGTGCACTAAACCATATGTTTTTTTTTTGCTGTTGTTTTGTGCACCTTTGTTGTACTGTTTGGTTTATATGTTTATTGTTACGGTAGATGTTGTTGTGACAATAATAAATAGATGCATGCATAATGCATAAATGATACTATACAATGCATAATGCTTAATGTGATATATCATGAATGATGCACATGCACACGATACCGTAATATGCGTGACAGTTAACAACCCAAAAACTAAGCTACTGTGAAAATATTAGGTGTGGGGCCTAGGCTTAGTAGCCTAGGCCCACACTAGGAGATAGGTAAGTTCGAGTGGGTTAGGTGAGAGTCGAGAAATTGGAAGGGAAGAGGAGTGACTAGCAAGAGTTGGGATACAAGTACATTGCCCTAAATTGGGTTGTACTCATTACAGAGTACCCCACTGCAGGCTAGACAGCAAATATATTCTGACACACCCCCATAGCCAAAGTCGGGTGAAATCAGCAGAGCAGGCAAAGCAGTACAAGCTCAGGATGGATCACAATGTCACCACACATTCTGAGCACAAGTTCAAGAAGCATTAGTTAAAGTGCACAATTATCAGCAAAGCTAGTGGTGGTCACAACGGGCAGGTGAGGAGGAGGAGGGAGAGTGAGAGGAGAGGAGATGGGAGGCGACTGCTGAAGCTGCAGACACACGGGCAACAGGAGCGGCTGGCACAGTGGCTACCGGGACAGCGCCCCGGACTACTGGAGTAACTGGCTCGGCGGCTACGAAGAGCGGCAGGAGCAACGGACCCACGGGCGACAGGCGCAGCAGGCTCACTGGGCTACCAGGACAGCGCGCCGGACTACAGGTGCTGCGGACTACAAGACGGCAGCCTCCGCTCAACCTCCCACAAACAGTCCCACCCCCCTGACACACACCCGCTGCTACACCCCTAGCTCCACTCCCACGCACCCCCCTTAAACCCTAAACCCCAGTCTCCCACACAACCACCCCCCTCAGCGACAGCTGCAGCAGTGGGAGACGACGGAGGAGGAGAAGGAAGGGGCGACACAAACGGAGCACCCCCACACCCGCAAACGGGGGGGGGGGGGACAGTGCGCACGAGGGCGCAGACAGTAGCAGAGCGCACGGGGGCGCGAGCACGAGACACGGGCAGCAACAGGCACGGGCAGCACAGGCACGGGCAGCACAGGCACGGGCAGCACAGGCACGGGCAGCAACAGGCACAGGCAGCACAGGCACGGGCAGCACAGGCACGGGCAGCACAGGCACGGGCAGCACAGGCACGGGCAGCAACAAGCACGGGCAGCACGGGCACGGGCAGCACAGGCACGGGCAGCACAGGCACGGGCAGCACAGGCACGGGCAGCAACAGGCACGGGCAGCACAGGCACGGGCAGCAACAGGCACGGGCAGCACAGGCACGGGCAGCACAGGCACGGGCAGCAACAGGCACAGGCAGCACAGGCACGGGCAGCACAGGCACGGGCAGCACAGGCACGGGCAGCACAGGCACGGGCAGCAACAGGCACGGGCAGCACAGGCACGGGCAGCACAGGCACGGGCAGCACAGGCACGGGCAGCAACAGGCACGGGCAGCACAGGCACGGGCAGCACAGGCACGGGCAGCACAGGCACGGGCAGCAACAGGCACAGGCAGCACAAGCACGGGCAGCACAGGCACGGGCAGCACAGGCACGGGCAGCACAGGCACGGGCAGCAACAGGCACGGGCAGCACAGGCACTGGCAGCACAGGCACGGGCAGCATAGGCACGGGCAGCAACAGGCACGGGCAGCACAGGCACGGGCAGCACAGGCACGGGCAGCACAGGCACGGGCAGCACAGGCACGGGCAGCAACAGGCACGGGCAGCACATGCACGGGCAGCAACAGGCACGGGCAGCACAGGCACGGGCAGCACAGGCACGGGCAGCAACAGGCACGGGCAGCACAGGCACGGGCAGCACAGGCACGGGCAGCACAGGCATGGGCAGCACAGGCACGGGCAGCAACAGGCACGGGCAGCACAAGGCGTACCGGGTCCAGGGGCGGCTTCTGGGGTCCAGGGGCGGCACCTGCAGCTGGGCGGCGGTAGCTGCTGCGGCAGAGCGGCGGCGGCTGCTGCTGCTGATAGAGCGGCGGCTGCTGCTGCTGGGTCGGTGGCGGCAGCTGCTGCAGGTCTGGCGGCGGCTGCTGCTGCAGACTCTGGCGGCGGCTGCTGCTGTAGACTCTGGCGGCGGCTGCTGCTGCAGGCTCTGGCGGCGGCTGCTGCTGCAGGCTCTGGCGGCGGCTGCTGCTGCAGACCCTGGCGGCGGCTGCTGCTGAAGACCCTGGCGGCGGCTGCTGCAGCAGGCTCTGGCGGCGGCTGCTGCTGCAGACCCTGGCGGCGGCTGCTGCTGTAGGCCTGGCGGCGGCTGCTGCTGCAGGGCGGCGGCGGCTGCTGCTGCAGGAACTGACGGCGCCCCGCGGGTCCCGCATGGGGCGTCGCGACGAGCAGGGGCGACGCCCCGCGGGTCCCGCACGGACGTCGCGACGAGCAGGGGCGACGCCCCGCGGGTCCCGCACGGACGTCGCGACAAGTAGGGCGGCGCCGCGCGGGTCCCGCACGGACGTCGCGACGAGCAGGGGCGACGCCCCGCGGGTCCCGCACGGACGTCGCGACAAGTAGGGCGGCGCCGCGCGGGTCCCGCACGGACGTCGCGACGAGCAGGGGCGACGCCCCGCGGGTCGCGCACGGACGTCGCAACGAGCAGGGTGACGCCGCGACGAGCAGGGTGACGCCGCGCGGGTCCCGCACGGGCGTCGCGACGAGCAGCGGGGAGGGCAGCGCGCAGGCCCCCCGAGGGCGCTTCGAAGGACGGGAAAACCGCCGCGCGCCCCGAGCGCACGGCGGGATGAAAAACTCCGAAATCCTAAAAAAAATTTCGCAGGAAGAAGGACTGCAGCGGAAGCATAGGGGCCCACAGGCCAAGGTAGAACGGGCTCTGATAACATGTGAAAATATTAGGTGTGGGGCCTAGGCTTAGTAGCCTAGGCCCACACTAGGAGATAGGTAAGTTCGAGTGGGTTAGGTGAGAGTCGAGAAATTGGAAGGGAAGAGGAGTGACTAGCAAGAGTTGGGATACAAGTACATTGCCCTAAATTGGGTTGTACTCATTACAGAGTACCCCACTGCAGGCTAGACAGCAAATATATTCTGACAGCTACCGCCATCCCCTGCCTAGCATGGGGGGGAGGTCAATAGCTTAACTTTTGAATAATCAACTGTCACATAAAACAACACAATCTGTGAAATCTAAAAAAAAAGTCAACTCTATCAAATCCAGTTTGAAGTGGTCGCACACGAGTCACTGAGTGCGCCAATGAACCTTTTGTGAAAAGATAGAGTTGAGCTTTCTTTTTAAAAATCACAGACATGCATAGTTGTTGTAATGGTTGAATTTACACACGCATACGCATGCATATAGACACATACATACATATGTACATTCATACATACACACATTACCGGTACATACATATACATATGTCAGAATGTTATTGTTCTCTAGCCTGTAGTGGGGTGCTCTATAGCGAGTACAACCCTTCTAGGGTTTGCTATTTGTATCCTCATTGCTGCTAGTGATCCCCCTTTTTTCCCTAAATCGTTTCTTGCCTAGCTAGGGCTTTCCTAGCCATGGCTCCTACTATTAACTACCTATTTTCACATGGTTATCAGAGCAGTAAGCTCCTGGCCTGTGGGCCCCACCACACTCCTTCCGCTGCAACTGCTACTCTCCCTTTTCGCCGTGCGCCCCGAGGCGCGCGGCGGGTTTCTGCCGCGTCACGCCGCGCGCCGCTCCCGGGAGGCGCTGCGACGGGCGACGGGGACTCGCGCGTCGCCCTCCGTCGCCCGTCGTGGCCTGCGCGCGGCTCGTACAGGCTGCGCGCGGCCCGTAACGGCTGCGCCAGGCCCGGACGCGGCCCGTATGGACTGCGCCAGGCCAGCGCGCGGCTCGTACGGGCTGCGCCGGGCCCGCGCGCGGCCCGTACGGGCTGCGCCAGGCCCGTGCGGGGCTCGGGCCGCCTGCGCGCGGTTCGGGCGGCTGTGCCAGGCCCGTGGGCGGCCCTTTCCTCGCTGCCCCTGCCCTCCCCGCTGTCCCCCGTGCTTCTATTGATGCCCCACCCCTCCTACAGCTCGTTCTCCTGAATTAGGGTTTGGGGGTGAGGGGTATGGGGGTGAAGCCACTATGAGCTGTTCCCTGCTCCTCCTCCTCCTCCGTCTCCCTGTGCTGTAGCTGCTGCTGAGGGGGGGTGGACTTGTTGGAGCCGTTGGAGTGGTACTAAGGGGGGGTGAAGGGGGAGTGGAGCTAGCGGTGTAGGAGCGGGTGTGTGTCAAGGGGAGTGGGATAGTTTGGGGAGGTTGAAGGGGGTGGTCGTCGTGAAGCCAGCAGCTCCAGTCGCCCGTGAGACCGTTGCGCCAGTCGCCCGTAAGCCCGTTGCGCCAGTCGCCCGTGAGCCCGTTGCTCTAGTCGCCCGTGAGTCCGTTGCTCGTCTGCCGCTACTTTTAGCCGCGGAGCCAGTTACTCCAGTAGCCCGTGTGCAAGTTGCTCCAGTTGCTAGTGTGCTAGTTGCTCCAGTTGCCCGTGTGCCAGTTGCTCCAGTTGCACTGTGTGCCAGCAGCTTCAGCTGCCGCCCACTACCTCCTCTCCTCTCATAGTCTCTTTCCTCCTCCTCACTTGCCCGTTATGACTACTACTAGCTTCGCTCATAATTGTGAACTTTAAACTATTTCTTCTTGAACTTGTGCTCAGAATGTGTGGTGACATTGTGATCCACCTTGAGCTTATTCTACTTTGCTTGCTCTGCTGATTACACCCCACTTTGGCTATGGGGGTGTGTCAGAATGTTATTGTTCTCTAGCCTATAGTGGGGTGCTCTATAGCGAGTACAACTCTTCTAGGGTTTGCTATTTGTATCCTCATTGCTGCTAGTGATCCCCCTTTTTTCCCTAAATCGTTTCTTGCCTAGCTAGGGATTTCCTAGCCATGGCTCCTACTGTTAACTACCTATTTTCACAACATACATACTTACATACGCATAACCAAACATACTTACTCACACAAAGATAATTAGTCATGCAATCATTTGCAGTTGACGAATAGAACGACCCCAAAAGCAAAATCCATATGGCATTGTCTAGTTTATCTCCCACCCACATTTCTTTAACTAGATTGTTTCAAAAAGACCCAGAGAAAAAACAAATGATTCTTAACCAACTTCATGCGTCTCGGTCTTCACCGTTGCTGCAAGAATTCGAAATTTGAAATAAATAAATCAATGGAACATCATTAGTAGTTACATGACATAAAGATTGTTTAGCAAAGCAAAACACCAAGTGAATATTATTATTCCATGCACGTCAAACCTCCTCATTGTAGGTGTGGACGATGGGTGGGAGCTCGCCGTGTCAAAGTTGATAGTGTCGACGTTTGACTTCGGGACGCTTGAGATGTCAACAATGGTCTTGTAGATGCGCCCCCCCTCAAGTCCAAAGTGAACCTGAAGGGGGGAAAGAGTATAAATGATTAAAAAATGTAATATTCATCAACAGTGACTAAATCTAAAGAATATAAACTCGTACCTTAACGAGCCAGCGATCTTGAAGAGCACCTAGTAGAGTTTGGCGCTCATCCGAGGGCAAGGAAAGAAATGTAGACATTTGGAGATGTGGGATTACTTTTGTCAAGAGGCTTGGTTGAACCACCAAACCGTAGGCTTGGTTCTTGAATGACGCTGAAATTTTTGAGCAAAACAAAACAATATTTAATGCCTTGACAAAACGTCTAACACTGTACACAAAAGCATACAAGTACCTTACTTACCGTTCTTGTGTACGACAAGTGTCATCGTCGTGTTTTCGATCCGGGTGATCGAAGTGGATCCATGCCTCGAGCACGAATGCTCGCGTGTGGCACAGGATCTGAAAACTGCCAGTGGACAAAAACCCTTCGATCCACCCTTTGAGAAAACTGAAACGAGAATGAAATGACTAAGTGAAAGTTGGGTACAAATACAACCCTAGAAAGTTGTACCCCATATGTGCTACCCCACTATAGCCTACAACAGCTATGTCATACAAATCTGACACCCTTGCACACCGTGCGCGAGGTGTGCAAAGGATCCTTGATCTCAGCTACGAGAGACGCTATCTTCTGTTTCCTAGTTGTCATTACAACTGTGTCCACATTACTCATCCCGAATACGAGAAACGGAAGAGTTACTTTCGAGCGTCTCACTTAGAAAATGTTCAAATGCGCATGCTATGTTCACTTACAGCGACACGAGCCCGACGTCTTGCGGTTCCGCCGTGTCGGGGGCATCTGTGATCTCCGATGGTCGTCGAGTGTCAAGAATGGCAACATCCGAAAGCATCGTTGTCGTGAACAAACCCGACTTTAGATAGACATTGCTAATGTAGACAGGCACGTCTGTAGCATCTGAGTGTTGATCCAGGTATGTCTTACAGCACTGGTGGATCCGCGTGGCAACGTCCCCCAGCGATACCAGGACACTCTCAAGGGAGGAATCCTAGATGATCGCTGTAAGATTGGGCAATCCACTTGGCTCTTCGTATGTTGTGGCTTTGAGTCTGACAGAAACGCAAGGGATCTGGTAATACAGAAGAGCAAAATGTCATCAAGTGTTGGAATAACTGAACAGGAATGGATGAACTAGGAGTGAAAACAGTACAAATACCTAACCCTAGAATTGTGTAACCCCTACAGGCTAACCCACTGTAGCCTAAACAAGTACAACAACATGTATAATGTTTAACATAAAGAAGATTACGAAAATCATGAAAAGATAATTGAGAGTAAAAGCATGATCAACACAAACATGAATACAACAACGCACTTATCACTTTAACGAGGACCACACATAAAGTTAGATGTGCTTTAGTGAGTTACTGTCAGAACATTATAGCTTATGCTTTTGTGTAGGCTAT